GTCCATTTAATCTGTGGATCACTGTCATCATTTTTATTACAATGGACCCTCACTAGAATCTGTGACACCGTCATTGATTGTAAAGTAGACTGTCCCTTTAATCTGTGGATCGCTGTCATCATATTTTACAGATGACCGTCAGTATGATTGGTAGTACAGCGTCATTATGTTTGTGTATGAAATGTCCTTTTACTAGAATCATCTGAACACTGTCTATATTTGTTTATTACATGTCTGTGTTTTAACTGATTTTCAACCCTACGATAGCACTCCTTGGTGATATAACACTACAACTGCACCACATGGTACCTAAATACAAGTGACTTTCCCAACTTTTTTATTAAACCATTACCTCCGGAAGTAATCAAAGGGATAATGTTGTTCATCTGCATACTTGGTACAGTCGGTGTATTTACATATAAATTCTGTTGATAATTTTCAACATTTGTTCTTCCTCTTGTTGATCTTTAATATATTTGTCCAGTTTATCCAAGAACATTGATCATCTTAAGGTAGTTTGAAAACATTGGATTAGTGTGATCTAATAAGACAGATATTAACCGATTAATACAACGCGTTGCCAACACTAAAACATGACATCATTCCCCCTCGGCCTCGCAAAATATAATTTTCTCGGGTTGATAAATCACCGTGATTACCTGAAAACAGGTCGATAATTGTATGATGTAAAGTGTGCTGTCACCATAATCTGATTTATTACCGTGGGTTATGACAAAGCTGGAATACGCTGAAATGTGGACGTCACTACTTAACAAGTCCAAATTGATTTAGTGAGTGTGGATATGTCTTGATAATAATAAAAATAAGTTTGAACAATAAACAATTATTTTGTTTGTATTTGTATGTAAAATTACATAAGTATAATGATCGATATCATTGATAGAGACACCTTTTATTTGACGCGACAAGTCAATTAGTTTATCAATGTTCATATTTCTAGACAAATCTAGTAATGTGTTGTCAAATCTTTCTATGTCACATTGATTAGGAATCTGACTTTATTGGAACTCGTCATCCGGTACATATTTTTTCTGGGAGGGGACATATCTCGTCTGACCGGTGAGGACCAATACCGGAGCCGCCATGAATATGGTACACCATTCTCACCACTGTCTCTAACGTTCATATCCATGTCTGCCAACCCTGTATTTTGACGGCATTCGGTATTTATCGACGTGTCCACACAGGAGGACAGTATACACTTGTAATATGTCCCTGGGCAAAATGTCTGTTTATAATTTTGAATCTGAGACCTAAATGTCTCTGATCATGTTGGCAGGATTGGGAAGGAAAAGGTACCGCTAGGTTAACTCCAATATTTGAAACAAGGTAACAATAATGAAAAAAAACATATATTTGTAACGAAGAAATGTGAAATTTACTGATCAGAGGCATACATTTTGGAATTTTTATCTACAAATCGATATATTAATATGTTTCTGAAATGCCGCTATGTAACCTACAGTAAAAAAAATCGTTCACCTAGAACGAGAAATCCACATGCGCGTCACGGTACGTGTTCGATAGCTGCATAAAAGTTTTATCAGTATAAAATATACTGCAACAAGTGCCGACAAGAAGCCTGGAAATCTGTACCCCGTGTCATAACTATGCTAATCAGCACGTGCTTTTGTTGAAAGTGTCCTCCAAAATGTGTTCGAGCTAAAATAACCATGGTCTAAAATAAATTAACATCACATATCATGATAATTTTATCGGAGAAAAAAGGGGATGTATTTATTCAAGGGAACTATTTCTCGTTTTATCTTCACGTAAATTAGAAATAACAATCGTGAACGACTGAAGATATTGGACATTAAAGTAGACTCTAGACTGCTGATATCTGGTACGTTATCGCCGGATTACCCAAATACGGTAGCGGGTCAACAAGAAGACGTCCCTGTCCAGGCTTATGTTGTTATCGGTTACAGCAAATAGTAACACTCGTACCTCCTTTTGGAGAAGATACACACACACACACACCCTCACACACACACACACACACACCCACACACACACACACACACACACACACACACACACACACACACACACACACCCACACACACACACACACACACACACCCATTCACATACCCTCTCACACACACATACACACACATGCACACACCCATTCACATAACCCCCTCACCCACACACACGCACACGCGCACGCGCACACGCACACACACACCCTCAAACACACACACACACACACACCCTCAAACACACACACACATACACACACACACACACACACCCTCAAACACACACACACAAGTGTAATCTCTTACTGGGGAAGCGAAGTTTGTATTCATTGTGTTTTTTTCTTTTAGATAACCTATATTACAGTGTAAGACGACGCTTTCAGTAATCGTTACAGAAGCTCATCCTGGATTTAATTATCTGTTAGTAGCTGGTCAAAAAAAGGTAAATAGAAAAAGAAAAGGTAATACATACATCTACTTTTCTTTTCACTCGCAAATTAAAGACTAATCTTTCTAGTCATTTTGTCTTACATTATTTTTATAATATGTGGTCTTTGATCAAGCGAAGACCGGAAATAAAGAGTAAAATCCAATTTGCATATTCAAATAAGTCATTTAAATATGTCATACAATTTGGACATTGTGACGTTTTAACTGTCCCTTTTTAAGGTAGGCTCTCGCCCACCATACTCCCTTAAGTATTCTTCTCATATTGGTCTCATGAAATCGTATATATTGGTGTAGCGTCATTAGCATACACGGTGCTGATTCACTTAAAATTCAATGCAACCTATAAAAGCAACCTATCTAAAGGTATTCACATTTAAATAACCAGCTACGATGCAATATTTTCGCAAAAAATTAAAAGGAAAAATAAAGCTGAAATATTATATTATAGGTTCTGGTGTAGTGAATCCGTTTTACATACGTTCAATACACGTTACCTTTCTCATGATACACAATGATATCATCTAAACATAGTTAAAAACAATTAGTTGAACGAGTGTTCAAACCAAATTTGATTGTCACAATTTACAAAATGTAATTACCGACATTTCTTTGCTGTCTGGTTCCGTTAGTATTCTTAAAGTGGCGTATTTTGAAATGAATGGTTTGAAACACCGCGTCAATGATTTTTTCCTGTTGTATATATAGAATACAATAGCACGATTTCAACACGTCTTCAAAACGAAACCAAGTGTGATTTTCCTGGCAAGCCTGGGTTGTCACGTGAACAAAGCTCCCAAAGATAATGTTCTCTTTGACCCTATAATCCTAATCGCCTTTAAAAAGTCGAACGGGCTAAGTCCGTTACGGTCTGCTGAATTTCAATAAACTCTTGAGATTTTGTGTATTTGTAAAGTTTTGTTTTGGTCTGTGGTATTTATGACTTTATCTAAGTTCTTTTCTGTGCATGATGTTAATCTATATGCGTGGTTGCAAAAGGCTTTTTAATCCGTTTATTAAATTTTTAATGAGCGTAAATTGCATTTGCATGAAAATAAATAACTTTTATTTATATTACATAGCTAAATAAATTACAGTTTATCAGGCTTAATAGAAACGAGCAGCAGCAGAAAAAACCGGCGATATTTCAATTCATGATGTAACATTTTTCTTCATATATGACATTAGATTTCAGTGGAGAACATTAGGGATCCGTTCATGGTAAAGGTCTGTGTGATTGGTTGGGAGAACATGATTGGAATCTGTTCATGGTAAAGGTCTGTGTGATTGGGTGGGAGAACATGATTGGAATCCGTTCATGGTAAAGGTCTGTGTGATTGGGTGGGAGAACATTATTGGAATCCGTTCATGGTAAAAGTCTGTGTGATTGGGTGGGAGAACATTATTGGAATCCGTTCATGGTAAAAGTCTGTGTGATTGGGTGGGAGAACATTATTGGAATCTGTTCATGGTAAAGGTCTGTGTGATTGGGTGGGAGAACATGATTGGAATCTGTTCATGGTAAAGGTCTGTGTGATTGGGTGGGAGAACATGATTGGAATCTGTTCGGTCTGTGTGATTGGGTGGGAGAACATTATTGGAATCTGTTCCTGGTAAAGGTCTGTGTGATTGGGTGAGAGAACATTATTGGAATCCGGTCATGGTAAACGTCTGTGTGATTTCGTCACTTTGTTAATATGACAGCGAATAAAGTTACTTATGGTTATCAGCATCTTATCTAAGAATTGTTTTCAGTTATCTGAAGAATTTCTTGTTTTCCCAATGATACAGGTGGTGGTATGCAACTCCAAAACGGATGTTGTAGTAATATCATATCACATAATACATAAACTGTGAATAATATATGTTTCTCAGAATATTAAACATCGTGCTTTATTTATTCACAGGTAAGAGTCTCGTATCTCATTAAAGGTAAGTGGAGCCACACCTGGCCAAAGGGAACTGGGAGGAGCTATGCTAGAGTGACAGGAAGTCGGAGGAGCCGCGCTAGGTTGACAGGGGGAGAAGGAGGAGCCACCTCTAGGCTGACGAGGGAGAAGGCGGAGCAACACCTGGCTAACAGGAAGTGGGAGGAGCCACGCTAGGTTGACAGGGGGGAGAAGGAGAAGCCACCTCTAGGCTGACTGGGGAGAAGGAGGAGCAACACCTGGCTAACAGGAAGTGGGTGGAGCCAAGCTAATAATAATAACAATACCCCGCCAGGCAGACAGACAATGGGAAGGGGTTCACGTGTTTATCAGGAGGCTCAAGATTGATAGTGGTATTTTCGGCTACCGGTAGAGAACACGGGAAGCGGCACACCAGTTCATCAGGAAATGGGAGGAGCTCGAACTGTCTAATATGAGGTGGTAGGTGGCACCCTAGCCACCAGGAAGTAGAATTATCAAAAAGGGGAAGGGAAGGAAAGTAATACCCCTGTTTAAATTGTAGGAGGAAACATCTAGAGGCTGAGAGAAAGAGAATATATAACTGCCTGACAGGCTGTGGTGATGAAGTAAGAGAAACATTAAATTAGATACAAAGATGAGATCAAAAAAAGTACGCAGATGTTTAGGTGTGTCCGTCTGCGGCATTCTCCTCTTCATGATGTCCGAGAGCATTATAGATTTTTTCAAGGTCATTCCACACGACATCTTTATCCTTAATGACATAGATAACGGTTCGTCTTGCGCCTTGCCTAAGCACGACCCATTTGATAGTAGCATTATGAAATATTTCTACGACATTGAATTGCCTTGCGACAAATACCCGGATGTTGTTTATCTGGACTCCGAGTTGCAGATACAGACGAACACGTCTGCAGTTAAGGAGGCTGGGTGGCGCCATCTGACATGTGAACGAGAGATGATACAGAGAGTGAACGAAGAAAATATCGCTTATGTTCCCCTTGGATCAAACGCATCATCAACGGTATATAGTGACTGTTCTAAGATATCGTGCATGGACGAAAGCTCTTCGTTAGTATACCAACAAATGATGTTTCATGTCGATAGTAAGCGGTTACTCAAAACCAAAGTTATCAAGGACGAGGATCCGGAAATCCCGAGTGTCCTCATCTTTGGCATTGACTCTCTGTCCCAACTAATGGCAAAGCGACTACTGCCAAACACTCTCGAATACCTCCAGCGGTCAATTGGGGCCTACATATTCAATGGCTACACGAAAGTGGCTGAAAACACTTTTCCTAATCTGATTTCTTTGCTATCCGGACGGAAAGAAATAAGTGAAGCGTTTTATCGCGACAAATATCTGGACAATATCATACCTTTCATTTGGAAGAATTTCTCTGACAAGGGCTACGTGACGATGTTTGCTGAAGAACAACCAATGTCTCCTAGCTTCAATGCAGTCTCTAAAGGGTTCAAAAACCCTCCTACTGATCATTATTTCATGCCATGCGCAATGGCAATGGATAACACTAAAACCCTTATTCATTCTCCCAATTACAAATACTCTTCCACATTTTACAAATTATTATTATTAAAACAATTTATGTTTTGTCATGGGAGTAAAGCCAAGTATGAAATTCATATCGATTATTTGAAATCGTTTTTATCATCGTACAAAAATAAGCGCAAGTTTTCTGTCACCTGGATCGCATCATTGGCACATGATGAACCCAACTATCTCCGACTAGCAGATGATCAATTTCGAGAGTTCTTTAAATGGTCAAATATTAATGGACACTTAAAAAACACCATATTGATATTCGTGGGAGACCATGGATCCAACCTCAATGATATCCGGAACACGGTCATCGGTCGGGTAGAAGAGAGAATGCCGATTTTCGCTATCGCTCTACCACCACATCTAAAACAAAAATATCCTAACCTTGACGTCAATCTACGTTTAAATAAGGACAGGTTGACGTCTCATTTTGATACCTATTACACTATGGTTGATATTCTCCAAGGATCGTTTTCTGTATCACATGGAAAAGGACAAGTTGGCAGAAGTCTGTTTAGACCGGTACCGTCGGACCGATCATGTCAAGACGCCGGCATCCGGAGAGAATATTGTCCCTGTCACAAGTATGTTCCGGTTGACGTTCCAATAGAAAAACTCAAAACTTTTGCCCAGAAAATTGTTGAGAAAATTAACTCAAAATTTAATATCGTCAATATGCAATGTAAGCAACTTTCTTTGAACAAAATAGAAAATTCTCAGAAGATCATGTCACATTTTGTCCCTGTTGCTCAAAAGAAACAGTTCACCTGGTACAGTCTATGGCATGTTAGATCCACCCATATAGAAAGTAAACAATACAGAATGTTGATAAGTACACTCCCAGGCTCGGCACGGTTTGAGAGCTCGGTAACCGTCCATTCAAACGGCAAAATTGAGGTTTGGGACCAAATAAGTCGGGCAAACAGGTACGGCAATCAGTCACACTGTGTTAAAGAAATCGAGTTGAAACCTTTCTGTTTTTGTGGATAAGTTTACACCGATAATTTATCACATTTTCCGTTAGATGTCTATGTTTGGGAGAGTACCTTTCTATGCTGCAGTGCCGACATATGAATCAAAGTGATTTTTTCTTCTTCTCGTTCATTCAAGTTAACAATTTAGAAACTTAATAGTCTTGTATAATTTATTCATTTTATCCTAGAAATCTTTTATTTATATAAATTACGCTTTGTGAGGATTAGTAATATGTTGACAGCCAGACACTGCCACGAAATGATTGCTATCATTTCAATACTACTTACCTCATACATGATTTTACAACAATAGAGGCAACATGGTTTACATGAGTGTCGGCACAACGCAGTGATTCTACTGATGACGTAACATGCATGTATATAGGAAACGCTTGATCAAATTTAAGGATAAGAGGTTAATGCTGAACAACTTGTAGGAAATTTGCTCTCATTTGAATTACTTGGAAAAGTTTCTTGTTTAATAAAATTTAAAACACTATGGAGAGAATCTGATTTATTCTATGTAAGTTGGAGTGCGACAAGGTGGAAGCCAATCCCAAAGATACAAGTTCATCAAAAGATACAGCGATATCGACGATAACTTGGAACTGATATCACCTAAGAAATTATTGTGTGGAACGAAATATTAATCAAACGGAACGAAATAAGAGCATAATATTTCATTCGAAGTCAATGATGTCACAATGGCACTAGCTGTAATGGTGTAGCACTGAAACCATTTAGTTATACTGTCAGTAGAGATACAAAGACTTCTGCAGACCCGAATTCAAAAATATTCCTTCTAAATCATGATGTATTATGTCTAGTTAAAACGTTACAGAGTTACCTGTACATCGTGTCCTGTATCTATAAAGGTCTGTAGGAAATACCTGTACATCGTGTCCTGTATCTATAAAGGTCTGTCAGAATTACCTGTACATCATGTCCTGTATCTATAAAGGTCTGTCAGAATTACCTGTACATCGTGTCCTGTATCTATGAAGGTCTGAAAGAGTTATCTGTACATCGTGTCCTGTATCTATAAAGGTCTGACAGAGTTACCTGTACATCGTGTCCTGTATCTTTAAAGGTCTGACAGAGTTATCTGTACATCGTGTCCTGTATCTATAAAGGTCTGACAGAGTTATATGTACATCGTGTCCTGTATATATATAGGTCTGACAGAGTTATATGTACATCGTGTCCTGTATCTTTAAAGGTCTGACAGAGTTATATGTACATCGTGTCCTGTATCTATAAAGATCTGACAGAGTTACCTTTACATCATGTCCTGTATATATATAGGTCTGACAGAGTTATATGTACATCGTGTCCTGTATCTATAAAGGTCTGACAGAGTTACCTGTACATCGTGTCCTGTATTTATAAAGGATTGTCAGAGTTACCTGTACATCGTGTCCTGTATCTATAAAGGTCTGACAGAGTTATCTGTACATCGTGTCCTGTATCTATAAAGGTCTGACAGAGTTATATGTACATCGTGTCATGTATCTATAAAGGTCTGACAGAGTTACCTGTACATCGTGTCCTGTATTTATAAAGGATTGTCAGAATTACCTGTACATCGTGTCCTGTATTTATAAAGGATTGTCAGAGTTACCTGTACATCGTGTCCTGTATCTATAAAGGTCTGACAGAGTTACCTGTACATCGTGTCCTGTATATATATAGGTCTGACAGAGTTACCTGTACATCGTGTCCTGTATCTATAGAGGTCTGACAGAGTTACCTGTACATCGTGTCCTGTATCTATAAAGGTCTGACAGAGTTACCTGTACATCGTGTCCTGTATCTATAAAGGTCTGACAGAGTTACCTGTACATCGTGTCCTGTATTTATAAAGGATTGTCAGAGTTACCTGTACATCGTGTCCTGCATCTATAAAGGTCTGACAGAGTTATCTGTACATCGTGTCCTGTATCTATAAAGGTCTGACAGAGTTATATGTACATCGTGTCCTGTATCTATAAAGGTCTGACAGAGTTACCTGTACATCGTGTCCTGTATTTATAAAGGATTGTCAGAATTACCTGTACATCGTGTCCTGTATTTATAAAGGATTGTCAGAGTTACCTGTACATCGTGTCCTGTATCTATAAAGGTCTGACAGAGTTACCTGTACATCGTGTCCTGTATATATATAGGTCTGACAGAGTTACCTGTACATCGTGTCCTGTATCTATATAGGTCTGACAGAGTTACCTGTACATCGTGTCCTGTATCTATAGAGGTCTGACAGAGTTACCTGTACATCGTGTCCTGTATCTATAGAGGTCTGACAGAGTTACCTGTACATCGTGTCCTGTATCTATAAAGGATTGACAGAGTTATATGTACATCGTGTCCTGTATCTATAAAGGATTGACAGAGTTGTCTGTACATCGTGTCTTGTATCTATAAAGGTCCGACAGAGTTACCTGTACATCGTGTCCTGTGTCTATAAAGGTCTGACAGAGTTACCTGTACATTGCGTACCTATAAGATGTCTATTTTTACTGGATCTCGGTCCAGAGAGAAAGTCATTTCACCTCCTAATCAAGAGGCCCATGGGCCATAATGACCGCCTGACTACAAAAATTTTCAGCAGAGAGAAGTTAATTTTTCTACATTGAACGAATTTTGAATAAGAAGCCGTTTTCCATGATGTAGATGGTAGTTATGGTGCGAAGTAGGTAACTGTAACAAGTGTTACCTATCTTTTACACTAAAGCTGGAGCTTGATCCCACTGGTGAAACTTTGGAAGATCAAAATAGGTGTGTTGCACAGCAAAACCATGATTGTGCAATCATGTTACAAAATTGCCTCCCTGGCTGCCGTATCGAAGTTTTGACAAGGTGAAAAAATAACATCACTTTGTTTTCTATTTCTTAACATTCCCACCAATTTTAGGCTCAATAGCACCAGTAGAACTTGAAAAGTTTAAAATATGTTTTTTCAAGATGGCGGTCATGGCGGCCATCTTGGACTTCAGACATACTCGAAAAATAACAACACTTGGTCAGGACCATCTCAGGATTATTCATGCAAGTTTGAGCGCAATCCCACTGATGGAACTTGAGAAGAAGTTTGAAATGTCCAAAGTTTACGCTCGGCAGACCCTTCCGGTCAGATGACCTAAAAACTTTCTCCACATATATGACATTTTCAACAAAGTTTAACAAATGTTTACATCATATAACAGGCATCGCACACGATACAAATACCCTCGCACCTCACATTTGAATGACATGTTGAAAGTAAATTGAAACCTGTATGTGTTCACAAACACCATCCCTTGTAAGAGTTCGCAGGTTACGGTTACCATGAATAAGTCAAATTGTGTAACTTTTATTCAAATGTACACAAATGACAGCGTTGTATGTGTAACAATGGAAGATAGTGCCCGACTTAATGAAGGAATGTCTGGTGTAGATATATATATATAATATGGTCTAATTTATTACCAAAAAATTATGGGTAGGTGACTTGATATGCTCTTAAGTGTTTTTTATGGATGATAATGCATTTGGTATTTCATTAATGTCACTGTTGAAGTTTCCTGGTAGTCATATTGCAGCCTGTAGAGCGGTAAATTATTATAGTAAAGCTGATCTAGTGTTTTAACCGACGAATTTAAAAAACTCAGCTTGTTAAAAAGGCGATCTTTGTGGACACAGATGTGAAATGTGGTAGAATCAGGGAAAGATGGAGTCTTTAGAGAAATGACCTGAAAAATTTGTTAGATTCTATTTATAGTACTGTGGCCTAGTATTTCACTCCACAATGTTGGAGGTTAAATTGGTATAGAAGTGGTGTTTGTCTAAAACATTGACCTATAAATTTCTTTTAGTTTCTATTTATAGCATCAGCGACCTCATTTTTGACTGAACAAGGTTGATAGTCAAACTCGAACATGACATGATGTTAGTGATCATGTGTGTGCAGTTATATACCAATCAACTTAGAAATGCAGCATTTGGAGAGGTGACATGAGAATTTTTGTTGATTTCTATTCATAGTAACAGTGACCTTGTTTTTGACCACACAAGGTTGAAGATCAAACTTATACAAGAACTGATTTTTGTTATTTGTGTGGAGCTTCCTGACATTTGGACGAGAAATGCAGCCAGTACAGCTGTGACATTGTTATTTACATACCAACATAACATACATACATATGGAGGGTATTCTTATATACCCCCAAAAACTTGTCACAAAAATTACAACTAAATGGTAACATTTAATAGCCATTTAAAATACGCTAATGACTAACATAAACATTACAGAGTTACCTCCCTTTTATAAGCAAAAACTGCTGACAGATATGCTGAAAATCATACATAATTTTAAATATCCACTTTGAGGATTCTTTTACAAAATAAATCAATACTTAATTAACCTCAACATTTTGCAATAAAGGGTAAATTAGTGCAATCTGATATAAATTTATAGAAAGGAAATGTTTTCGGCACTAGTATGGGTAACAAACTGTTGAAATGCTGAGTCAGCAATATTGACGTATTGAGAACAACAGTAATCAGTGTTTTTTTTTTTTATTTTAATATATCACAATATCACACATGTGGTTAGGTTAGGCTCTGCTTATTTGTCCTAAAGCATATCAACACAAATTGACAAATTTACAGCATACTTGGTCACATCCACTAATTTGTTGACATTTTTCTTTAACACTATTGAGCATTGAATACCCAATCCATGATTTTCCATGATGTAAATTGAAAATTTGTTTGGTACCAAAAATAGAATTTCTTTAATGTTACAATCAGTTTCAATCATACAATGGAATAGTTTCCCACAAATATATAGAATTTTTTATATCTGTATATATACTTTATATATATATTTATAATCACATAATTTGGGTAAGAATATGCTGATTTTTTTCGTAACATTGCTTTGTTTCCGGCAGTCTAAAACACAACAAAATTAATAATATCAAGCTGACACAAGCTCTGATGAAAAAAGCAGCACATAGACACTGACTGGAATTACGACTGTAGAGTGAGCAAGTCTATTATTACTGCTGGTACATCCAAATGGTCACAGGCCCAGATCAGATTGTGGTTTGATAGCATCATTAATTTTCGACATCGAGTTCGAGCCAGATACTGCAACGATGGAGGTGTGTTCTTAGATGATTTATGAGCCTTTGTTGCACTGCGATGAAGATCCATAAATGGTTTTTGTAAATCTTCATGAAACGACTGAGTCACGAGTTGATGTATGCTTTTCATCATCTGCTCTCTCACTGGCAATCCACTTGCTACAATCAGAAGCCGCAGACACTCTAAACTATCACACGCACGCTTATAGCTTGTACAGCTTACATCATATTCCTGCTTTGTCACTTCATTGCGGTAAATGTTTACCCTTTTGAGGGCAATCTTCAGAGCTATGTCAATAATACCTGGTGCAGCAGCCATGTTTTTTGGCTGCACGTTAAAGCATGCACCTGATTTAAGAAGACGTGACAATATTCTGATATTACATTTCGTCACTGATAACTGTAGCGGTGATCCCCAACCGAGGTCATACAAATTCACCTCAGAGCCATGCTGAATCAGGTACTCTGTCACTTCTTCATGACATCCCAGAATGGCAAAATACATTGGTGTCCTTCCTCTCTGATCTTGTGCATTTTTGTTGGCTCGGTTCTCTAGTAAATTCCTCACAAGTTCAAGGTTACCATAGCTTGCCGCAACATGCAATGGCGTTGTCCCATTTTCGTCTGAGATAGAAACATCAGCTCCTTCCCGTATCAGGTAATCAGCAGCAGCAAATTTAAAATTAACGATAGCTTTCATCAGTGGAGTCCTCCTCCAAACGTTTAATGCATTGATGTCTGCTTTCGATTTAAGAATCATAGATAAACAATCCCGCCATCCTTGTGATTTGGCTACAACAGCACTATGGAGAACTGATTCACGACTTGAATCTACGTCATATACACTTGCTCCCAGGTCAAGCAGAAATCGCATGCATTCTGTGTGACCATGAGCAGCAGCCAGGTGAAGAGCAGTGGTTTGAGAATGGTGGAGTTTCAAATAACCGGTAAGGTTAGTAGAGCGTGATAGAACTTGTAAGAGGGCCACATCCCCATCCTGTATTGCCTTCATGGTCTGAGACATTTGTTCCACCTTTGGAAAACTTGCTCCCATGGTGTTTGTTTACCTGGAAAATATACAAGACAAAGGTATCAGTGAAACTGATGAATGCGCCCCGAAAACGACTTTATTGGACACAAAATTTTACCAAAGGGCAACAATTCTGTAATTAAGGGGTTGCAGGCCTTGAAAATGGTATACAGCACATTCTCTTTGTATGACCACTGTATACACCAAGTTCCATGCTCCTGGTTTTAATGCAAGCAAAGCTATACTCATGACATAGCAAATAAAGGGCAATAACTCTGTACTGAGGGGTCATGAACCCTGACTTTGCTACACTGTATCTTACTTTTGTATGACTGATGTATACATCACCTTTCAATATCCTTGTTTAAATGCTCGTAACACAAAATTTTAACAAAGGCGAATACCGGTAAACCATAATAAAGCATTATCAATAGATGCACGCACACTGTCCCAAAAGGGTAAAACAGAATTTTCTGGTCTATATGCAGTCCCTATAATGAAAGACGAATTGGTTAGTCTGATTTTAATCCAAATTACCTCATCCCCGGGACATTCTAACTCCGTTAAGTGGTTTACTTTTAGAAGATCGTTTATATAGACAAGAACACCTCCTCTAGCAAAATTCCTACCAAGTCGAAAAGGTTCATGAAATCCAACTATAAGTAAATCATCTGTAGGTATCTGATCATCTAAATGAGTTTCTGTTAGACATACGATATCATACTCACCTGCTATATCTAGATATTAATGCATTTGACACAAGAAATTAAATATAGGTCATGGTCACTATCATTCATTTTCATTGTAGTAGTTGGTCAATGGGTATCATAATAAGGCCAGTGACACAAGGCATCTGAAGTACTCACTAGTGCTGCATCTTTAGAAGACTTGGCAAGTTGGTCAGGTCCTGCAAATCTGGCAGTTCTTCCCTAGTGACATTAATATCAGTGTCCAGGATCTGTAATTATAAGTTATTAAGAAGTTGGCTAGAGTATTGATCTAGAGATTTTTTTATACGTATTCTCTGTGATGACAAAACGCGTTTTTTTCACGAGTATTGTTGGATTTTTACCTTTTCCAGCCACACGACAGCTTTAAACAAGGCAGTGGTATTTGCCTTATAGCAGTGTCACAAGACTCGAGAAGGGAGTTATGGCAGGCATAGCTAATTTCCCGTTAATCACTATAAAACGTGACAGGTTCCTACAAAATGTCGGTCATCTCTTGTTTTGGGTGGTACTATCTACCGCAAAGTGCGACAAGAACTGAAAAGAAAAGAAAATTACCGACAGTCATCTGACGAAGAAAAATAACGCTAAAGAAACAATATTAGAAGCGTTTCATCTAGGTACGATAATTACACGGATATTGCTATAAAATTCGTAGCAGGCCGCATAGCCTAATGCTGATATACCATACGTTTTGCTCGACTGAGTGCAATGGACGACAACTCTGACAGAAATCAAGTTGATGTGATCTTTCTGCTCTCTTAAGAGTTTTGTTTGAAAATATGCCGACTTTATTTATTGTTTAGGAGGATTCTCTGAAGACATACATATATTCATCTATTTCACTTATCCTTGACAAGGTTTACATCCATTATCAGTCCTGATTCCTTTCGACGGCTTTTCTTGTCGTGTTTTGTTGTCTTGTGATATACCCTATTGTAATTGGTCACGCCGCGTGAAGAAATTTTGATGAACAAGAATGTCGTACAGCTAAATGGGCTAAACACTATCTAGTCAAAGACCACGTTTATCGAGTATATCCACCTGATTTCAGTGGTGTGAAGATTCATCTATAATGTCAGTTTTTGTATGTTTTTTTTTATATCAGGTCAAAATGGGAAGTTTTCTTTTCCGCAAATATTGAATGAAATTTAACGACGTAAACATTAAAATAATGGACGTCTTCCTTGTTTCAGACTGTCTGTTATCTAGTGTTAACAAATCAATTATTGAATCTAGTTATAGATCTGACCATTCAGCTATAGTTACAACTTTACAGATAAATGAATTTAAAAGAGGGAGGGGTCTATGGAAACTTAATAATTCTTTGTTGTGTGATCCTGAATATTTAGATATGGTTAAAAAATGTATAGAGAATGTTAAGTCACAATATTGTTTGCCTGTCTATAATATTAGTGCTATTAAAGATATTCATGATAGTGAGATTCATAATAACCGGGTATTCCAAAGGGAGACAAACCACGTCATTTCTTAAAAAACTGGAGACCTATCTCTTTGTTAAACATGTTAAACAAAATGATTGATGTAGGAGCTTTTATGGATTCTCTTAAATTAGGATGGATTAGAAGAATCACTTAAGTCATCAGGAAAATGGAAAGTTCTATTGAATTCTATTGTAGAGGTGAAAAAATTGTTTCATTGCGAAAAGGATTATGTTAAGTCATGTAGTAAAAATTGTAGCAATAAATTCTGAAAAGATGTTTTTAAAAATTAGGTTAGATTGAATAATTCCTTTTCTATGAGGCAAAGTAAGCCTGAGTCAATTAAAAAAACCTTTATGGTACAATAATGACATAAAAGTGGGCAATAGATATGTCTTCTATCCAGTATGGTTTAATGCTGGTATATATACCATCAATGACCTAATAGAAATTCTGATCATTTGACATTTTTCTCCTTTAATGAGTTTCTGCATAAATTTTTAATCAATACCAACTATTTACAGTATCGAGGCTTGATTACAGCCGTCAAGTGTTTCTTGAGAAAGCATGACTTCCATCCTATTTCAGCCTTTTATACCACTTCTATGTGAATTTTTTTAATAAAAAAAAAAAAAAAAAAAAAGGCGCCAAAGACTTCTACAACGCTATTATTAAACCAGCACCAACCCCTACTGGTATTCGAAAATGGAGTGATGAGTTTGACTTTGATGATAAGAATTGGAAAAATATATTGATAATTCCGTTTACTATTACAAAACGTTCTCAGCTACAGTGGTTTCAAGTAAGGATTATACATCACATTCTGGTTACGAACTCCTTTCTTTTCAATATTAATCTAATTCCTAGCCCTTTATGTACACTGTGTAATATGGAAAGAGAAACTATTGTTCACTGTCTATGGGAGTGTATAGAGGTACAGACTCTATTGGAGAGATTTGAATCTCTTCTTGATATTCTTCTGATTCCTTTCTGGATAAACAAAGAAATATATTTATTTGAAATTATCCATCCTAATGCTAACACTGTAGATAACAAAATTTTAATTCTCATTAAACACTATGTTTATATGTCAAGATGTCTACAAAAATCTCTTAATTTAAATGCTCTTATAAATAAGATTAAGGATCATTTCCATGTTCAAAAGTACAATTTCTCCAGCAAAAACACTATTATGAAAACAAATTTTGAGAATAATCGGAAAAAATGGATGCCCATTTTAGAACTATAGTATGTATGTTAATAAGTTTTTCCCAATGGCCATGGCCTTGACTTTACCAAACTGACTTTAAATTTATTTAATTTCCACAAAATTAGTGCTATTTTTATTTAATAATGATTATAACCACCCCCCCCCCCCCCCTCTCTCTCTCTCTCTCTCTCCACTTCAGATATCATTTGATATCAATTGCATTATTATATTTTGTTTGAAACTAGATACATACCGACTTTCTTCCAATGTCCGAGAAGTCTATCTGTATTAGCTGAAAACAGGTACCTGTCATGATCGCCTATTTCTCGAGGTTATATCAAACATGTCTATATAGACCAATCTGAATTATATAACCTTGACATTCATACTAAGGGGCCCTAGATCATACATTATATCGACAGGGTGCAATTTACAACAATTGATAAAAAGTTAAATAAACGAATTAAAGACTGAACTTTTTGTAATCAAGCATTTTCATATAGATAAACTTTCTGCACACACAATAACGGAAATTCATATTCATAGATACCATGAAATAAAGACACGGTTAACGCGTACTCACAAGAAAACGGAACAGTAGACAAAACCTCAGTATACCGTACCGCATATGGCACGATCGCATTAATAGAAGCGATTAGGAATGGGCACAAGCGGAACACTCTTTTAGGGAGCTTTGTTCATGTGACAACCCATGCTTGACAGGAAAATCACACTTGGCTTCTTTTTGAAGACGTGTTTAAACGCTCTTGTATTCTGTATATATACAACAGGACAAATCTTAATCGCGGTGTTTCAAATCTATTCATTTCAAATGCACTCATTTCAGAATACCGATGAAATCAGACAGTGAACTATTGTCGGGCTTTGAATTTTGTAAATTGTGGTGATGAATTTCGATCTTCACCTCCGTTTAACTGATTTTATTTCATTGTTTTTACATGCTATCGTTAGGTATCACGGGATAGGTAACGTATATAGAACGTATGTGAAAGACACCAGAGAATAATAGCTTCAAAATTTCACCATATTTCAGTATTTCCGCGAAAATATTGCTACGTAGTTGGTTATTTTAAACATGAATACCTCCTAACAGTTTGATTTTATTCGTTGAATTGAATTTTAAGTGAAACAGCACCATGTATGCAAATGACTCTAAAACCACATAGACCACGTCATGACACCAATATAAGTAATGCACCAAAGGGAGTATGGTGGGCGTTTCTTTGCTTTTAAAAAAAAATTTAAACGTCACTATGTCGAAATTTGACAACATATTTAAATGAGTTATTTAAATATGCAAATTGGATTTCCCCGATATTTTCGATTTACGCTTGATCACGATCTACTTATTGTGTAAGTAATCAACACGGACTAGATGAATTCCATTTTAATTTGCTGGTGATTGGAATATCGAGAAACGCAGACTTAACTATTACCATTTCACTTTTTTCAAGGTTTTATCATCGCAACGTAGTAAAATGTTACAATGAACTTGTTTTTTGTCATTGAATAATATATGACTAACTAGTAATCATTGTTTGATTCCAAGATGAGCTTTTGTATTATACATGAATCATAGACAATGTGAAACACATACTGCTGGCGTCGTATTACTGTGTAAAACAGGTTATCTGTCGCACGACATTTAATGTACACTTACAGAAAAAAAAACCCTAGCGAATAGATACTGTGTTTACTCAAAAATGGTCAAACTTGTGTATTGTATATTATTTGGGTGATTTTTAGTGTAAAAAAAAGTAAAATAGGGATTTGATTGATTGTGACTCCCTCTCCCTCCCTCCCTCCCTCCCTCCCCCCCCCCCCCCTCTCTCTCTCTCTCTCTCTCCCTCTTTCCCTCCCCTCTCTCTCTCTCTCTCTCTCTCTCTCTCTCTCTCTCTCTCTCTCTCTCTCTCTCTCTCTCTCTCTCTCTCTCTCTCTCTCTCTCTCTCTCTCTCTCTCTCTCTCTCTCTCTCTCTCTCTCTCTCTCTCTCTCTCTCTCTCTCTCTCTCTCTCTCTCTCTCTCTCTCTCTCTCTCTCTCTCTCTCTCTCTTTGTCTCTGTCTGTCTCCCTCCCCCTCTCTCTCTTTGTTTAGGATGTATAATGGTTTTTTATGTATATAATGTATTCTTCAGTGAGTATATGTGTGTGAGGAAATATCTTTGATAAGTGTAAGTGATATGATATTGTATTTGTGTGTGTGAGTATTTTGTTAAGTACATGTGAGTGTAAGTGGGTGTGAATGCTGATGAGTGAATTTGTGTGCAAGAAGTAGTAGATACATGTGCATGATGATAAAGATGATGATGATGATGATGATAAAGATGCATGTGCATGTGTAAGACATATTCAAGTCACAAGTGTGAAAGTGTGTGTGTATGTTTTTGTGTGGATTCTCTTGTATATTGTGTAATATGTAAAAACTTGTGAAAAATAAATGAATTACAATATATATATATATATATATATAATGGAATATCAACGGGGAGAGCTTAGTTTAATTTCTAAGTGCGTCTACGTAAGCCGACAAGCGATAATAACGTGTGTGTACTCTTATTGCAACCAACCTGAATTGAGGACAAATTCGCAATATATCACAACAAAACGCTGCAATTTTATTGGAGGCAAAATGTAAATACTGAAATCAACTTTTATTATAATTATTAATGTTCTTAATCGTTTCTGTACGGCGTTGGGAGAGAGTGCAGTTATGGCATTTTATTGTCAATCAATTCAATATTTTCAAACACACTATACACAACGTATGGATACCGTAAATACAGCCTTTTAATGATATTGCAATAGAAAATCGTTTGTTTTGATTTAAACTTTGTTTTATTTAGCAATTACATTTCATTAAATACATACGTTTTGAACAACAAGGATTCAGAAAGAAGTTGACAAACTTATGTTAATCTGTTCCCTTAAAAGTAAAAAGCAGGTAGATCGAATTAGGGAAAGGGAAAGGAAGAAAAGTTATAGGAGAGAGAAAGGGAGTAAGGTAAGTGGATAGAATGAGTATATGGTGTCAGATAGACAAATACAGATGATAAGGAATACAAATTCATCCATTATAACATAAGGGTATCTTAATTGTTAATTTTGTAAACATGTAGTAATACAAACTGCCGTACTGTTAATTCATATTTTAATACAGACAAGGTTTAACGTATATATCAGGGGTAAAGTAAAGTAGTGTTGGCAGTATCTCTCTACTAATTCTCAAAACGTTTAGAGTGTAATATGTAAGTTTGGACACTATCAAATATAGCTTCCTTTTCTGCAAGTAGTTATAATGTATCGCCAAAAAGAGGAAGGTCAACAGAATCAACGGGAAGAAGATGACAAAGAAAAAGATGTCTACATCTTGTATGATTAGAACATGATATGAGGGCATGCTCAGCTGTTTCGTTTCCCATACCACAATTACAAATAGGACTTGCAACTAGATTTTTCATGAAAAGGTGGTCCTTAAGTGAACTACATTGCATTCGTAGTCTGGAATGATGAATTTGTCCTAGTCTAGAACCATTAAAGAAATAAGTCGGAATATTGGATGTAAGGCCATTTAAATAATTCTTCAGTGTGTAAAGGGGTGGGTTATCTTTAACATGAACAGGTAGGGAATTCCAGAGATCTACAGCCGAAGGAAGAGAAGAGTCTTTGTATAATTGTGTTCTACATGCAACTGGACGGAAGGTCGCTGCGTCTCTAGTGTTATGGTTATGTATGTCGGATTGACGAATGGAAGAAGATCAGTAAGGAATGACGGTGATAAACCGTGAACTATTTTATGAAACTGGATAATTTTGCTATGTTTGCGTCTGGTGGAAAGACTAACTCAACCAGTCGCATTATAAGGTATGTTTATACTTGTAAGTTTGGTTCCCCCAGTTACGATTCTGGCCGCTTCTAGTTAAAAACTTTCTAACGGGCTTCGAACTCACAATCTACGGCACCAAATCGTCTAAAGCTAACCAAGAAATTCCACGGGTGCAGAGAGCGATCGTGATCGCAACCCCAGGATGTTCCTGGGCTTGTGCAAGTCTAGTTTCCACTATATCGGGCCTATCTAGTCGATAAAAAAAATCTGTTACTACGCGGCCATTATTTCTAGTGAAGTCCTTTATCCGGATTGTATTTTGACCGTCACCGCCTTTCAGCAGATGTAAACAAGCACTGATCAAGGTAAGGTTTGTCGAAATTGCCTGTTATTTCGAGAACATCAAACATGATTCCACACATTCTAACCCTTTCACCATGAATATGACTGGAATACACACATTCTGACAAACTCCAGTATAAATAGGTTATTATGACATAATTCACATTGCTTCCGGCTACGCTAGATGCTCTGTCATTTCATCAAAGCCTCTCATTATACAGAATATAAAATGTAACCACACAAACATATTCCTATTAATCAACCAAGATACGTATGTTAATTTAGGGATTTGGCACGAATTCCAGACCTTCAGTCCATATATATGTATCCTTGGCGTATTAATTTTGGGGTGAAATGGTTTACCCACAAACGGCTAAAATTATCGCTAAACACCCAAAAGCTAACCCCCCCCCCCCCCCCAAAAAAAAAAAAATACCCTATGATCTACCCAAACAACATTCAGAAGACGAAAAAAACAACTATCACAACCTTATTTATTTGATAAGGCAGCAGGAAACCGTTAACTTGCATTTTTCCTGAAATTATAGGTCGTGTTTGAGATATACAGGTATAGCAGATTTTTTTTTATGAAAAATACATCCTTACATGTTTACATATTTATAAACTACATACCAATTATATTAATAGTAGAGAAATAAAATTTGTGTAAATCAAAAATTTCATCTGGTTTCTGACATTGATTGCCATGGTTGCCAACTCAAAAAAATGTTAAAAATGCAAAAATTCTATAAATTCCAACCTAACACCACAAATTTATAGAAGAAATTTACATCTGAACACCTGTCTTAAAATCAACAATACTGTCCTGGTAAAAACCTACTAAAATTTCAGCAAATTCCAAATCGGAATGCACTCACAACATGACCACCTGTAAACACCAGGAAAATTTCACTTCCTGTATAAGCTAGTTCTTGATCTGTAGACACGATTCAAGACTGTCTAACACAATGCAAAAAATATTATTCTGAAAAATATTAAACCTCACATTGTCCACTTCAACATGATCAGGCCAATTTTAGCAAGGATTTATTTTTTAAATTTTAAGTAAAACCTTTATAATGGGGTAATCTAATGAACAAAAACTGTTGCCCATGGCCACACCGAAAAACTGTGTACTGCTACCTGACAAAACCTTGTGAAATTATGGCTCCCAATATTGTTTGTAACCCTAACACCTCAGTGACAGATGTATATGCTTTACAGACAATAATTTATTTATTTATTAATAATGTCAGTAAAACAGGCAGAAAAAAATCTTTTTTTGTTCTTTTTCTTTTGCAGACCTATTACGTATAGTATTAGGATTGCACATATGCATACACCTTTATAAAGTTGAAATGAAAAAATTGTATGGTTCACTAATTTCATTTGAAATGGAAATGACTATTGTAATAAAACATACACTTTTATTCTGAATCGACAGCAATCTGTATATGTTACAGATAGACAATATGTAAGGGTTATCTCTTCTCTCTATCGTCATTAGGACACAGCAACTGAGATTGTATCTTCATCTTTATGTGATGTAATAGTTGATTTTTGGGTAGAATTTGGGTGTTAAAGAAAAGAATTTGGGTGATTGGGGTAGTTAGTTTGCAAATGTTTTGAAGAAGGTTTTGGGTGTATTTTGGTAGTTTTTGCATTTTTTGGGGGTAGATTTGGGTTGGTTTTTGTTTTGGTAAATCATTCTGCCGTTAGTTTTGGACTCCTCGATATACTCATATCTCAGTAGATAAACAATGTCGATGACCAGCAACCAGAAAAATACATAACTCACTTGAGAAATACTCAAGACTAAATCATGAATCAAAATCCTGTTGAAATTCACTCTTTGTAAACATGCTTCCATCTACAATCCAGAAAGTCCTTTAGATGTTGCCATGTGAGGTCAGTTTTTACTATAAAAATGTAAGGGTCCTAGTCAGACTATAAAGGTAGCATTCAAATGACTATACATCCGTATCAGACCTATGATATATTACAAAGAGTGCACAGCAGATGCGACATCACACTTTACCGATATTTCTGTCTTTGCCAAGTAAACTGATTTACTTGGTAGTGGCCTTCAGAACTTCATATAACATTGGTTTGTCTTTTATTTGGGGCCCACGTTTGTTAATATTATTTGTTATGCCCCCGCCATTTATGGCCGGGGGCATATACATGTTTGTCCCGTCCCGATATTATTTGTCCCAAATCAGTATATACCACCTAACAACTTCATTCGGACCTTTTACTATTATTTCACATGGGGGGGCGGGGGCATTCATGTCTTACAGACATTTTCTAGTTTTAATATTTTTGATAGACACCGCTCAGCTAAAGTGTGTTTTAATCTTTCTTTGCATAATTATCAAGTGAAAGTTTTTTTCAGAAAATTTCCAAATCACATAATTTTGCCAAATGATGCATAAGGCTTTAATTGTTATAGATTATAGTTACCTTCTAGACCCTCCTTGTTCTATCCAGAATTTTCTCTTAGTCACCTTCTAGACCCTCCTTGTTCTATCCAGAATTTTCTCTTAGTCACCTTCTAGACCCTCCTTGTTCTATCCAGAATTTTCTCTTAGTCACCTTCTAGACCCTCCTTGTTCTATCAAGAATTTTCTCTTAGTCACCTTCTAGACCCTCCTTGTTCTATCCAGAATTTTCTCTTAGTCACCTTCTAGACCCTCCTTGTTCTATCCAGAATTTTCTCTTAGTCACCTTATAGACCCTCCTTGTTCTATCCAGAATTTTCTCTTAGTCACCTTATAGACCCTCCTTGTTCTATCCAGAATTTTCTCTTAGTCACCTTCTAGACCCTCCTTGTTCTATCAAGAATTTTCTCTTAGTCACCTTATAGACCCTCCTTGTTCTATCAGGAATTTTCTCTTAGTCACCTTCTAGACCCTCCTTGTTCTATCAAGAATTTTCTCTTAGTCACCTTCTAGACCCTCCTTGTTCTATCCAGAATTTTCTCTTAGTCACCTTCTAGACCCTCCTTGTTCTATCCAGAATTTTCTCTTAGTCACCTTCTAGACCCTCCTTGTTCTATCAAGAATTTTCTCTTAGTCACCTTCTAGACCCTCCTTGTTCTATCCAGAATTTTCTCTTAGTCACCTTCTAGACCCTCCTTGTTCTATCCAGAATTTTCTCTTAGTCACCTTATAGACCCTCCTTGTTCTATCAGGAATTTTCTCTTAGTCACCTTCTAGACCCTCCTTGTTCTATCCAGAATTTTCTCTTAGTCACCTTATAGACCCTCCTTGTTCTATCAGGAATTTTCTCTTAGTCACCTTCTAGACCCTCCTTGTTCTATCAAGAATTTTCGCTTAGTCACCTTCTTCACCTTCTAGACCCTCCTTGTTCTATCAAGAATTTTCTCTTAGTCACCTTATAGACCCTCCTTGTTCTATCCAGAATTTTCTCTTAGTCACCTTCTAGACCCTCCTTGTTCTATCCAGAATTTTCTCTTAGTCACCTTCTAGACCCTCCTTGTTCTATCCAGAATTTTCTCTTAGTCACCTTATAGACCCTCCTTGTTCTATCCAGAATTTTCTCTTAGTCACCTTCTAGACCCTCCTTGTTCTATCCAGAATTTTCTCTTAGTCACCTTCTAGACCCTCCTTGTTCTATCCAGAATTTTCTCTTAGGTAGAGCAGCAGACTGACAAGCCAAACGGCTAAGGATTTGATTACCATTGGAAGAACACTGTTTCCGTCCTGCTACTTTCAATGCCATATAGTAGACTACCTTAAGTGCTAGCTAGAGGAGACAGAGAGCTATATGCTTTACTGCAGCCAGAAAGCTGGAATGTGGTGTTTGGGAATAAACACTTTAAGAGTGGGAAGTTGTACAGCAGAGATTATGCCCACCTTCCAGTTTTGCACCAGAGCGAACTTCTTTAAACTCAAACAGTAGAGCAGTGACCAGAACACGATTTGATCTCTGATGGAGGCAAATTGCTTCTCTGTTCTTGTATAGTTATTACAAAACAATTGTAATTGTGTTGTTTACTACTTTGGTGAATACTACATTATAAGACAAGGTTTGTCACAACAAATTTCCATATAACAGACAAGAACTTGATGAGGAAGGAACAGTGGAATAGTAAACATGCTAATTCAGATGCCAGCAAAAAATTCTTTGTTATAGATTCAAAAAATTATTACAGGGTTTAGCTGAGTTACCTCCCTTCCTCTGTTTGCCGACATATTCATATAGAGCACCTATGACATTCAAGAGGAGAAAATGACATCTGTGCTGTAATGAAGGCTGTGCTGAAATATCTAGATCTACCTGTACTGTACCCTTGGTACACCAAAATGTAGCAATACCAACCAGTGATGCTTAAAAATTGGGATAATTAAACATAAGCTCTGTCGTTACTGATCTTGATAACTATGATTTACATAGTGATCATGACTGTTCAGTGTATTTGTGTATATCTCCTAAGTATGCTATGTCGTTGCTAATTATTTGTGTCTAGAGTTCTTTCTGTCAGATTCCCCCCCACCCCCCCAAACTGTCCACCGCCCTGCCCGCCTACCATCCCAGAAATATCAGCTCTATAAATTTTCAAAGCACAGTATCTTTGGTTTTTCATTTATTGATTTGTGATATTGTTTCAGATAAACAGACATGGCAACCCCAGTGCCTGCTGCCGATAAAGTGTTGCCCAGACCTTTAGTGCAGGTCGAGTCCTCATTCTCCACAGACCATCCTCAACAGCAATCAAAACGTGCAACTAAGACTCCATCTCAGACAAGTCAGGGGCCTAAAGAAACAGTACTGTTGAGACAAGCAATGCCAAAATACAATTTCCAAAGCAAAAAACCAACAGCAGTAGTGATGTCAACATCTAGCCTCCCCAGTCCAGAGTCGCTGGACCAAAGCATTAAAAAGACAGCCAGTCCGCCTGTAGTCAAACCTGTGAGTAAGGTAGACCCTTTACCAGGAACAGTGGAACAGACTACCTTACCTCAGAACTGTGACCAGCTGATGAAGGTTCATTCCTTAGAGTGTCTCCCTTTTCCTGACCCAATAGGGAGCCAAATAGCATCCCTTCAAAACCAAAATTGTGAGCTAAAAGATGAAAATGGAAGATTGAAAAAAGAAATGGAGAACATGAAGAGACAACTTGATGTTCAGTTTCAGGTGTGTATCAACCAAGTTTATGGAATGTTTATTTGTCAAAACATTTTGGATATAATTTGTCAAATTAAAACAAAGATATAATTTTGGAGTTGAAATTGTTGGTAAGTAAAAGGTCCGGGGATCCTTGCATCTGAGGGAAACTCTTTGTTAATGTAACTCTGGTAAAATACTAGCTGCAATATACCGCTCGGCTTTAGAGAACATCTCTTTAGCTTGATCAGTTGAGTGTCAGACTAGTAAGCCAGAGGTCATGGGTTTGAATCCAAGCAGAGGCATTGAAATTAATAATGACTTCTGTTACATTAATGACATAACTAGTTAAGAACATTTTTCTAACACTAATGTCAACTGAAATTAATGACCATGATTAATGATTTTTCACATTTTAATGAAGTTTTAATTGTGAATTAATGATATTCTAATGATATCTGAAAATAGTGTGATTTATAAATTTAACATTTATATCAATATTTTTATTTTTAAAAAATGTAAGTATATTGTTGTTTCTATATGTTCCTTTATACTTACCTTATAACATTCTGTGGGTAGTATTGAGATTAGTTCAGATAATTTGCTGAATGACTGGAATTTCTGATCGTTCATATTTTATATAAATATTTCTACACTGAAACTTTTCACTGTATTACATATGTAAATCACCAATTAATTCTGCAGAGATTTTGCTGTTTAATAAAGATGGAAAGTTTAGTTAATGTAAACACTATAATGGAGATTTGTGTTACAGGTGAATTCTGAGCTGAAGAAACTACTAGTTGCTTCTGTGGGAGATGACTTACAATTCAGAGTGGAGAACCTAGCCAGGTATACTATAAACATGATTAATACAGAGTAAACATGATTAAACCTTTACAGAGTAAATTAAAGACACGATTAAACCTTTACAGAGTAAATTATAAACATGGTTAAACCTTTACGGAGTAAAATATAAACATGATTAAAACTTTACGAGTAAATTATAAACATGATTAAACCTTTACAGGGTAAATTATAAACAAGATTAGACCTTTACAGGGTAAATTATAAACATGATTAAACCTTTACAGGGTAAATTATAAACAAGATTAAACCTTTACAGGGTAAATTATAAACATGATTAGACCTTTACAGAGTAAATTATCAATGCTATTTACCTTTAGATACTGGTGGAGATGGAAAAAATGCTTATCTAGAATTTATTACTGGAATCCATACTGAATACGTGGATGTGTCTAGTCAGAAATACTTGAGAAACAAAATTCCAGACATCAAGATCAAAAATGGCCACTGGCAGCCATCTTGAACAATAGTAATTCCACTTTGTTGTAATTCATTACCAGCAGAATTCTTACTGGATGATAGGTCATTTAAAGAAGGAATTATTTCTTAAAAAGAAAAGAGGATTATTGGAAAGTTGGAGATGCATATTGTAACTTTATTGTAAAATGAATCCTTAATTGTCTAACCCGTTAGTATTCCAATATCATGTCTTATATGTTCCCCTAGAATTCAAGCATTCTGATGTTTAGTTTTGTTCATAATATTGTTTTTATAGAACTAATCAAGAATTCTTTTTAAACACTTCTGGTGATGTTCAGTTTAAGCTTGAGAGTTCACACCACATTTTGTGGTTGTTCCCAGTGTGACTCATTCAATGAATCCTGTCATTTCTAAACAGTTAAAAATGTGTTTCAAAAGGTGGTCATATAATGGACGTAGTTTTAAATGTTCCACGCAGGCCACTGTCTTTACCGTTAAAGTCCTGTCTTGCAGATTGATATATATCCACAAATAATTATATTTATTCTTATAAATTGCTCATAAATTTGATGTACCAGATAATCTTTGCAATCAATTATGAATTGCAAAATCTTTGATCTCCCCCCCACCCTCCCCCTCCCCCTCAAAAAAAAAAAAGAAAAAAGAAAGAAAAAAAATGAGAAACCTATAGCTACACAATGTGTATACTCCCCAAGAGTAATTACCACTTTCAACTTTTCTTGAAAAATTGTGCACCTTATGCGCAAGTTTTTACGGTTGCTAAACAAATGATTATTTGGAAATTAAAATTGTTCCCAGGAACTGTACATTTTGCACAAATTTCATTGATTTGATGAAAATGTATTCAAAATTTCAAATTTGGCTGTTGAATGTTATCTTCTATAAAATTTTGTGATGGATTATATCTCACGTTAAGAATTACAAATGTATATATTATCAACATGATTAGCTTTTCAGTACTTTCAGTACTTTGATTTTGTATTTCTATACTATAGGGACAGAGCACAGCTTTCCACAGAGATTGGCACATTCGCTAGAAGACGTACAGAGGATTACGAACACATTGACAAGGTGTCTATTCAAGCCGATATGTGGAGGAGCAAGTTCCTTGCCAGCAGGTATTTCATTATAGAGACCATCGTATAAACTGTAATTCTACTACATCATATAATGTTATATAACGGTATGAGATGTAAAACAACATCTGTATCCTGCCTATACTTATCCTTAGTGTTATTATAGGGTATGGTAGATATGTTATGATATGAAAACAATTGCAAGAAGAAACAAAAATGGTACCTTGAATATTTAGAAAGTAAAAACTGTTTGTTTGTGGTTTTACATCCTTGCAACAGCCAGGGCTATACCAGAACAAGTGTTTAGATAGAAGCCAACACTCAAAGTCATACAAGGATGGGTGTCTATAGAGACACCAACACCCAGTGTTATACCAGGATTGATGTTTAGGGAGACACCAACACCCAGTGTTATACCAGGATTGATGTTTAGGGAGATATCAGGGTGATGATTGATTGACCATGGAGCTTTCTTTTGCCAGTTTTAATTATCAGTTCAGCTTCTCTTACCTGGGTGACGATTAATTTATCAGTTATGTTTCTGTTGCCATGGAGATTATTGATTTACATGTATCAGTTGAGTTTCTGTTACCAGGGTGATGTTGATTTATCAGTCAAATTTCTGTTGCTAGGGTGATGATTGACGAGCTAGCTTCCTCAAAGGCCTACCTGTCCATGTTGTGTGAAGAGTCACAGAGTACACTCCAACAGGTGTTGAATGAGCGTTATGAAATACGCTCCAACCTTATGGAAACATACAAGTAAGTTCTACATCATAAATGATTATAATGTTTTTAATTTCTCCAATAAATAAAAGATGCATGAATAGATAGCAATGGTAGTGAAATGAAAATAAGTTACTTAGAAGCATTGTCAACATGTCAGCGAATGAGTGAATTTTGATCATGTTGGCCCAGTAGGGATATCTTCAAAGCAAATCTTTCAAATCTTTCTTCCGTAGCAATCACAGGATTTTGTCCAAATCCGATTTGAAACATATTTTTTCAACTTTGGAAAAATGGATTCAATTTCATGAGGTCACCTGACCATCGGTCATGGTGACGTGTAACGATTGTTGTTTGACTGTTGTCATCATTGTCACTGATTTTGATGTAACTTAGTATGTAGCCTTATATAAATAAGATCTCGGACGAGGTTGACAATGTGATTAATCTTATCATAATTTTCAGAGTTATGGCCCTTTTAAAGTTTTATTAGCATGGAGAATTTGAATAAATATATACAGATTTTGATGTAACTTGGTATGTGGCCTTATATAAATAAGATCTCGGACGAGGTTGACAATGTGATTAATCTTATCATAATTTTCAGAGTTATGGCCCTTTTAAAGTTTTATTAGCATGGAGAATTTGAATAAATATATACAGATTTTGATGTAACTTGGTATGTGGCCTTATATAAATAAGATATCGGACGAGGTTGACAATGTGATTAATCTTATCATAATTTTCAGAGTTATGGCCCTTTTAAAGTTTTATTAGCATGGAGAATTTGAATAAATATATACAGATTTTGATGTAACTTGGTATGCAGTTTTGATAAAATCTGAGATAAGTTCAGGAATGGGACTGATTTGAATGACTGAGTTATGGCCATTTGCAGTTTAAGTTTGGTTGAGATTAGTCAGCTGGTGACAATTTAGGCCCATGGGTCTCTTGTAGAAATGGTGATTGACATTATCAACTGGACTGTGTTTATGCAATAATCAGAAATCAAGGTTATCTCCCCTTGATTGTTAATTATCACATCAGTGAAGATGGGTACTGATGATACACCATTAAGTGATAATGAGAGTGAATTTTTGTGATGAAGTCATCGAATATTTTAAGACTTGACAACATGGTTTTGTATATAGTACAATAGAAGTGTGTTATAATCAATCCCCAAGTTACCTAGATGTTAATTATCTATCTGAAAGGACTCTGCAGCAGATTAAGTCAGCATTTGACCCACTGAACTCCCAGCAGTCAATGGGGGTGGCTTCTACCAATAGCCTGGACCTTGCACGCGTGAACTTGAGGCTGACTGAAGCCATCCGTTATCGACTACTGCCAAGCCATGTTGCTTTGGATACTGTTGTAAACATTGACCAATGGACGAACAGCCTCACTCTCGCCGAGTCACGTGCCCATGAGGTATGTAATAATATAAAATAATGGATATTTCTTTTGTTTCAGTAGAGTTTACCTCTAGATTTCAATTTTTCTGGAGTTATGCCCTGAGCATTCTCTACAACCTTTTGCATATTATATCTTGTACTTACTGTAATGAAAGAATCTTAAAAAAAAAAAAAAATAAAAAAACATTATTTCAGGTAAATAATCTAAGAAAACCTGTTTTTTGAGTCTTCCCTGATGTTTTTCAACAATTTTAAAGTCAAGATTAATTCTGTATATGTATTCCCCCACCCACCTCCCAAAATAATGAAAAGAATTTTTGACTTGCTTTCCTACCCAATTTTCAGCCCATCATCATCAGATGGCACAGAGCTGTTGCAATCAATCGTCATTTGTCTTTCATGCCTCCTTTATCAATTCTTAATTTGTTAAAGCAATTTCTTGAGAAGTTTGGAAGTAATTTAATTTTGAGAGTGATCATAAAGCTAACAGATGGCCATTTTTTCTTTTGGCAATTGAAGATAGTGTTACATTTCTGGAGAAGCACTGGATGCTACTACTATGTAAATTCATTTTTTTCTTCTTTGTGTGTTAGACAGATTGTGTTTTTAAATTTCACATGAAAGTTCTCATATTTATTGATGTATCCATGTGATTGGTTAACCTGTTATCACATGTCATTGATGTCAAGTAAGAGGAAAGATGACAAAAAACTTATAAAGAACAATTATAGATGATACAATGATGGGGATCTCTTCTAATATATTGCAAAATATAGTTTTCAGAATATTTCTAAATCATTTTAAAGATTTGTTTTAAATATTTGGAATACCATATGTTCCAGTTCCTGTCCAAGAAAACTGACCCAGAAGATATTCAGAAGCACATAGCCAGTGCTCTTCGGGATCCTGCCATCAATATCATTGACCGCTTCCACCCTTTCACCCGCTTTGACAACCTCACTCTGAACTGTTGTGTAAAGTGTCAGGGTGAAATGTTTGCTGTATGAAAACTTAAAAAAGGGGAATATGACTATTGTTTTGAGTTCAAAGGTTGTCATTCTTTTTCTTTTTGGATCTTCCATAAATAACACGGGAGTTTTCCTCTTGGTCAACTATAAACAGAGATGGACAATGGACAGCCGTCATGGATTTGTATATTAAAGACACGGTTCCGAGTGGTCGCAAAATAGGAATGACTCACTGATGGCTATCTAAGATTTTTTTTTTTAATGTTTAGCATTGCTTTTTCTCATAAGTCACTGGAAGGATTTTTACTCAAACAAGAATACTCACTAAGCATGATATGACTGTAGTTTTGTCTCTGACATCAGGGCTTTGTAATTAAGTGGGAAAGTTCCCTATGATTTTGATAGTTATTGCAACAAGTTTTATCCTTCAACTGGCACTGCCATTGTCGGAATACACCTGCCACATATATTTTTCTGTATTTGTCAGTGACAGAAAACTGCTGTATTTAGCTTGTGCCGTAATTCGACAGAATTACTGTCTGGATTTACTTAGATATTAAGTTTATAAATATAAACAGTTGTTGAAATAAATTCATAAGATCGCTGTTATGTCAGATGAAGTTTGGAACTATATTTCAGTGCAGAGAAATTACTTTGGCGTCAGTTTTCAGGCAAAATTCAGCGGAACATCAATATCAGATAAACACAAGATTGAACAAGAAAACTGTTTAGTTTCAATAGTCTGACTTATACTCAGTGTTGCAAGATACATTGCTAGTTCCTTAAAGTATAAGCTGTATTTTGGACGGTGACAGACAAAAGTGGCGAGATATTTTAAGGCACAGTATTCACTATTTTTGTTACACGACATAAACTTTATATAACATACTTAGGAAATCGTAATAAAATTGGTGAATAAAACTCTAATCTATATTTGTCTCACTGAAAAAATCATCCATTTTATTTTTTTCATATCTCAAGATCCAAAATATGTAATTTGTGAAAATTTAATTTTGAGTGAAAAATCACAAAAATAAGTTACAATACAGTATTTTTGTATGGGGGAAATTTAAGTAACAGTCTGGTACTGCTGTCCGTATGTTAAACCATGATCTCAACACATGGGACATTGGTTTCATAGTTTTTTATTGTCTATCATGCAAACTATTGATACATATAAGAGTGAGACACTACCTCAATTTTTCCAGTTTCAAATTCATTGGAATTGTAAATATTTTGTATATATATTTTTATAAAACACCTGTATATTCATTGTGCCATTTTTTATGAAGTTATACCACATGCATACAATAAAAGGTATGCTGGATTGGCCTTACTAGTATGTTTGTTTGGTTATTCTCTGTGATATGTGATTTTAACCAAAGTTAACGTCGGCTTGAAAATTTGGGTCCCAGTCCCAGCATGGGCTATAATAAAATCTCCATTGAGATCAAATTTTTAATTTTCCTTCTAAAATCATTCCAGTTTTAAAAACATTACAAATACACAGAATAGACTGGAGATATTAGAAACTATAGGTCTGATTTATATCAATTGTGTAAAAAGTTACATTTTTGTAAATGTTGTACCAGAGGAGGGAGTCACAAACATGTTTACACATGTTGTTTACACGACAGACATTTTTTACACGTTATCAAGTTTACATCTATTTTTGTGATAAACAAGTCCACATATCTTCCAGTGATGAAGACTTTTTCACCTTCATGCTTAAACATCCCATGTATTTTGACATGATTACGATATTTGTTGTTCTTAAAACGTATCTGAACATGTTTTAATGTTTATTGATAATGTATATAGAATGGTATGATAACAATATTTATATAATTGTATGTTCCTACTTGTCACATGTTTAAAGGCGTCATGATGTTGATGTGTTCCATAAGGTACAGTTGTTACCCAGTATAGTGTGTACAATGTTACAATGATCCTACTTGTCACATGTTTAAAGGCGTCATGATGTTGATGTGTTCCATAAAGTACAGATGTTACCCAGTATAGTGTGTACAATGTTACAATGATCCTGCTTGTCACATGTTTAAAGGCGTCATGATGTTGATGTGCTCTATAAGATACAGATGTTACCCAGTATAGTGTGTACAATGTTACAATGATCCTACTTGTCACATGTTTGATAAGGCGTCATGATGTTGATGTGCTCTGTAAGGTACAGATGTTACCCAGTATAGTGTGTACAATGTTACAGTGATGTTTTCAGCATTAATACCTTAACATCTCAAAGTACAAAATTTATCGTTTACATTTTACTTTCTTTCTAAACATAATAAACTATCGTTCTTCAGAACATCACAGCAATCCTCAAAACACAGACAAGGGAATGGTCCATGTCTAAGGAAGTTTAGCATACGGAAAATGTCAAGGTCACTGGGATTGAAACTGTTATGTAAATTCCAAGCATCTGCAATGGGGAGGAGGCAGATTTCTGAACAAAACATAGCATTGATGAATCCTTTTGTATTTGAAGTAACAAGCATCATTTTGAAAATATTTCAGCATGGATATTATATCTATATATATTGAAGATTTTAAGACTATGAGAATAATATATTGACATACTTACAAGATGTATATATTTGCTGCCGTTGTTAATGTTTAACTACAGCTTGTTACCAATAAGACCTTTGTATTAATATATCTAGTCAAATAAAGGACTTGGGGTTAAGAGAGTTGTTTTTGTCTTCATAAAGAACGATAAAGAACCACTGATGGTCTGTCTTCATAAAGGTTAGATTGTATTAAATGAAATCTTCAGGGTTTTGAAAGGGGGGAGCAAAGTGTAGGTTCACTTAATACATCTAACCGATTTAGACAGCTACATGCATTTAACCTTTGACCCTTCTCCCACCACCCTGTAAGGTGGCAGCTCCAGTGTTCTGACTGAAAGGTACAAGGCGGAGTCAATTATGGTCCAATTAAGGGTATACTTGCACATGATTGGTTAACCGTTGTAAGGCAGTGCGTTGATTGAAAGATGCTGAAAAAGGGCAGTATTTTCTATTTGCTCCCGACCACATAGTTCATTTTTATGAAATTTTTTCCTATGTAAGCATGTCGCATTATGTGAGCGAGGCAGATTTTAATATTGTGACTGATCTCATACAGCAAGGGGAACGATCAGTTGAGATACCCCTTGCGGACATTTTTAGGGATGATTTTATCGATATTTTGAAAACAGAATGTGAAGACATTACTTTGACACATTTGGAATATTCTATTCCGACACAGTCGTTATCGGCATTGGAAATGAAACAAAACAAAATTCCATAAGATTTGGTCCCACTCTTACATCAGACGATGTCACAAAGAAACATATTGGAAAGGATTAAAAAAAAAAATAGGACTAACACTAAGTGGTATGTTTAGATATGGAAGGACTGGTTGGCGAACAAGAGGTTGTTACCAGAAGCATATAATGAGCAATCAGTCCTTTAGTTACCTCATATTATGAAATCATCATCACCACGAAGACCTATCTTCAGTATGAGGATCAGTTTCTACAGGAATATGTCATAGTCAATCCTCAGCTCTGATTGGCTGGAACATATGAAAATACCAAAACTGTCGTCTAAATAAAGAACAACATAGAACCACTGATGATCCATTCGACTTTTTCACACAAGCAGCCTTCATACTAACAAGGTATACACCACAACAATGTACACAGCACAACAATGTACACAGCACAACAATGTACACAACACAACAATGCACACAACAACAATGAACACAACACACCAATGTAAACAACACAATAATGTACACAGCACAACAATGTACACAACATGACAATGTACACAACACAACAATGCACACAACACAACAATGAACACAACACACCAATGTAAACAACACAATAATGTACACAGCACAACAATGTACACAACACAACAATGTACACAACACAACAATGTACACAACACAATAATGTACACAACATAATGTACACAATAATGTATACAACACAACAATTTACACAACACAACAATGTGCACAACACACCAATGTAAACAACATAACAATGAACACAATAATGTATACTACAATGCACACAACTCAACAATGTATACACCAAAACAATGTACATAACATAACTATGTACACAACACAATAATGTACACATCACAACAAAGTACACAACACAACAAAAACAATCTACACAACACAACGATGTACACACAAGGATGTACACACAATAGCAATATACACAGCACAAGAATATACAAAACACAACAATGTACACAACACAACAATGTACACAACAATGTACAAACCACAACTATGGACACAAAAAAAAACAATGAACACACAATAATGTACAAAAACACAACAATGTACACAACACAATAATGTACGAAACAACAATGTATGCATCACAACAATGTATACACCACAACAATGTACACAACACAATAATGTACACACCACAACAATCCACACAACACAACGATGTACACAACAACAATGTACACAACACAACAATGCACACAACAATGTAGTACACAACTATGTATACATTACAACAATGTACACATCACAACAATGTATACACCACAACAATGGACACAAGAAAACCAATGTACACAACAATGTATACATCACAGCAATGTACACAACACAACGAACGATGTACTACACACCACACCAATGTACACAACACAACCATGTACACAACACAACCATGTACACAACACAATATTGTACACACCACAACAATGTACACAACACAACAATGTTCACAACAATGTACACGACACAACAATGTATACACAACAACAATATACACAGCAATGTAGTACACAACAATGTATACATCACAGCAATGTACACAACACAACAATGTACAAAACAATGTATACGACACAACAATGTACACAACAATGTAGTACACAACAATGTATACATCACAGCAATGTACACAGCACAACAATGTACACACCACAACAATATACATAATAATGTTCAACAATGTATATAACATAACAATGTACACAACACAATAATGTACACGACACAATATACACAACACAAAAATGTACAAACCACAACAATATACACAACAAAACAATGTACAAAACAACAATAATGTACGAAACACAACAATGCACACAACAATGTATGCATCACAACAATGTATACACCACAACAATGTACACAACACAATAATGTACACACCACAGCAATCCACACAACACAACAACAATGTACACAACACAACAATGCACACAACAATGTAGTACACAACTATGTATACATCACAACAATGTTCACATCACAACAATGAACACAACCTAACAATGGACACAACACAATAATGTACACACTACAACAATGTACACAACAATGTAGTACACAACAATGTATACATCACAGCAATATACACAACACAACAATGTACACACCACAACAATGTACACAACACAACAATGTACACAACACAACAATGTACACAACACAATAATGTACACAACACAACAATGTACACAACAATGTAAACGACACAACAATGTATACAGAACAACAATGTATACATCACAGCAATGTACACAACACAACAATGTTCAAACCACAACAATGTACACACCACAACAATGTACAAAACAATGTAGTACACAACAATGTATACATCACAACAATGTACACAACAATGTACACAACAAAAATGGACACAACAAAAACAATGTACAAAACAGCAATCTACACAACACAACGATGTACACACAACAACAATATACACAGCACAAGAATGTACACAACACAACAATGTACACAACAATGTACAAACCACAACAATGGACACAACAAAACAATGTACACACAATAATGTACAAAACACAACAATCTACACAACAAAACAATGTATATAACAATGTACAAGACACAACAAAGTACACAACACAATTATGTACAAACCACAACAATATACACAACACAACAATGTACACAACACAATAATGTACGAAATAAAACAATGCACACAACAATGTATGCATCACAACAATGTATACACCACAACAATGTACACAACACAATAATGTACACACCACAGCAATCTACAGAACACAACGATGTACACACAACAACAATGTACACAGCACAACAATGTACACAACACAACAATGCACACAACAATGTAGTACACAACTATGTATACATCACAACAATGTACACATCACAACAATGTACACAACACAACAATGTACACAACAATGTACAAACCACAACAATGTACACAACACAAAAATATACAAACCACAACAATATACACAACACAACAATGTACACAACACAACAAAGAACACAACTTAGCACTGTACTCACCACAGCAAAGAACTCAACTTTGTACATAACACAGCAATGTACACAACACAGCAATTAACATTTTACAAGTTAAAGTTGTCAACACTGTTGATCAAATGTTAGAATTATCCGTGTCATCAAAAAGTTTGAGTCGCGTCAAGCTCGACTTTCCAGACGCCATATTTGACTTTTCGGAGGCAGCTTTCGATTACGGTCAAACAGTTTGAAAAGCTACGATACTATTTTTCAAATTTGATAGATCCTAACTGCTGGTTTTTGAAAGCTGTAAACTTAAACATTTGAGTGGTTGCCAAAGTTTTACTTACAAAACTTCAAAGACCGGAAACCAGTAGACGACGGGCTCTGACGAGAGGAAGGTGTGAAGGGTTCTATATTATGATAATTTGGTAGTATACAGGCCAAAAAATGCTCTAAAATATAAAAATGTAACCCTGACCAAATATTAACCGCAATATACGGTTTGGCTACAGACAACAAGTTCAATCGTTTGAGCGTCAGACTAGTAAGCCAAGGGTCCCGGGTTCGATTCCTAGCAGATGCTTCGATATACATAATTACCTCTGTTGCAAAAACTTTACATAATCATAGGGTAACCATTTTTTTTTTTTTTTATTTTATTATTATTATTTTACGTGAGTCAAGTACTCCCTGGTCTTCCAAATACACGTTGAAACATCTCAGCTGTATAGTATAGTATAAACCGTGATTTCCCGTTTGTGCATCCGGTGTGTTCGAATGGTAATCAAGACAACCTATTCACATAGACCTCACACCCAGCTCTGTCTGTTTGAAGTCCTTTAAATCATTAATCAATGTCTCTTTTCTTTCCCTCCAATTAAAACATAATTAGAACCGACCTATGACTATTGATTAAACACATATGAATTTGTTTAAATGCAAACGGGACGACTAATGAGATATTAGGAAAAGAACGTCCACAGTATGTAAACTTTTCTGATTTTATGTTTCATGAATTATTCACACTTTACTTTGATTTTTTTTTTTGAATCCGATTTCACTTGAGTTCAATGAATTGAATCAATTAATCAATTGAAATCTAATTAACACACGGAGAGAGAGACGTACCTCTGAAGCACTCTGTGAACGCAGTAAATCTGATAAGTCGTTGTTTTTATGTCTTTATTCATATAAATGATTGACATACATCTGTCATACCAAGGAAATGGTTCCCATAACCTAATATAAATTGTAACTTCTACCAGATCTAGCGTTTTCCTTACAACCAAAAATGTTACAAATGACGTTGAATGCTCTTCTAGAGCCTCAGGTGATACACTTTTTTCCTTACATGTTACCTTTGCGCTAATTTTAGCAACACTTGTTGCATGTGACGCTGAGTTTCCCTCTGTAACCCAATATACTGCATTTTATGTAGGTTTCTTTTTCAACACTTTTAACACTGAGTTATACTTTATAGCCCTTGTTTAACTTTTGACACAGAGTTTTACAGTGTAGTCAAAAGTATAACTTTGTAACCGTTTTAGCATTTGACACTAAGTTTTACCTTATAGCCCCGGATGTAACATCTTATGACGCAGAGGTTTCCTCTCTTATTTGACTGTTAATTTCCCTCTATAGCCCCGTCTGTTTTATATGTTAATTTTCCTCTATAGCCCCGTCTGTTTTATTTGACTGTTAATTTCCCTCTATAGCCCCGTCTGTTTTATATGTTAATTTCCCTCTATAGCCCCGTCTGTTTTATTTGTTAATTTTCTCTATAGCCCCGTCAGTTTTATTTGACTGTTAATTTCCCTCTATAGCCCCGTCTGTTTTATTTGTTAATTTTCCTCTATAGCCCCGTCTGTTTTATTTGTTAATTTTCCTCTAGAGCCCCGTCTGTTTTATTTGTTAATTTTCCTCTATAGCCCCGTCTGTTTTTTTTTGTTAATTTTCCTCTATAGCCCCGTCTGTTTTATTTGACTGTTAATTTCCCTCTAGAGCCCCGTCTGTTTTATTTGTTAATTTTCCTCTATAGCCCCGTCTGTTTTATTTGTTAATTTTCCTCTATAGCCCCGTCTGTTTTATTTGACTGTTAATTTCCCTCTATAGCCCCGTCTGTTTTATTTGTTAATTTTCTCTATAGCCCCGTCAGTTTTATTTGACTGTTAATTTCCCTCTAGAGCCCCGTCTGTTTTATTTGTTAATTTCCCTCTATAGCCCCGTCTGCTTTATTTGTTAATTTTCTCTATAGCCCCGTCAGTTTTATTTGACTGTTAATTTCCCTCTATAGCCCCGTCTGTTTTATTTGTTAATTTCCCTCTATAGCCCCGTCTGTTTTATTTGACTGTTAATTTTCCTCTAGAGCCCCGTCTGTTTTATTTGTTAATTTCCCTCTGTAGCCCCGTCTGTTTTATTTGTTAATTTCCCTCTATAGCCCCGTCTGTTTTATATGTTAATTTTCCTCTATAGCCCCGTCTGTTTTATTTGTTAATTTTCCTCTAGAGCCCCGTCTGTTTTATTTGTTAATTTCCCTCTATAGCCCCGTCTGTTTTATATGTTGATTTTCCTCTAGAGCCCCGTCTGTTTTATTTGTTAATTTCCCTCTATAGCCCCGTCTGTTTTATATGTTATTTTTCCTCTATAGCCCCGTCTGTTTTATTTGTTAATTTTCCTCTAGAGCCCCGTCTGTTTTATTTGTTAATTTTCCTCTATAGCCCCGTCTGTTTTTTTTTGTTAATTTTCCTCTATAGCCCCGTCTGTTTTATTTGTTAATTTCCCTCTAGAGCCCCGTCTGTTTTATTTGTTAATTTTCCTCTATAGCCCCGTCTGTTTTATTTGTTAATTTTCCTCTATAGCCCCGTCTGTTTTATTTGACTGTTAATTTCCCTCTATAGCCCCGTCTGTTTTATTTGACTGTTAATTTCCCTCTAGAGCCCCGTCTGTTTTATTTGTTAATTTCCCTCTATAGCCCCGTCTGCTTTATTTGTTAATTTTCTCTATAGCCCCGTCAGTTTTATTTGACTGTTAATTTCCCTCTATAGCCCCGTCTGTTTTATTTGTTGATTTTCCTCTATAGCCCCGTCTGTTTTATTTGTTAATTTCCCTCTAGAGCCCCGTCTGTTTTATTTGACTGTTAATTTTCCTCTAGAGCCCCGTCTGTTTTATTTGTTAATTTCCCTCTGTAGCCCCGTCTGTTTTATTTGTTAATTTCCCTCTATAGCCCCGTCTGTTTTATATGTTAATTTCCCTCTATAGCCCCGTCTGTTTTATTTGTTAATTTCCCTCTAGAGCCCCGTCTGTTTTATTTGTTAATTTCCCTCTATAGCCCCGTCTGTTTTATATGTTGATTTTCCTCTAGAGCCCCGTCTGTTTTATTTGTTAATTTCCCTCTATAGCCCCGTCTGTTTTATATGTTATTTTTCCTCTATAGCCCCGTCTGTTTTATATGTTATTTTTCCTCTATAGCCCCGTCTGTTTTATTTGTTAATTTCCCTCTATAGCCCCGTCTGTTTTATATGTTATTTTTCCTCTATAGCCCCGTCTGTTTTATTTGTTAATTTTCCTCTATAGCCCCGTCTGTTTTATTTGTTAATTTCCCTCTATAGACCCGTCTGTTTTATATGTTAATTTTCCTCTAGAGCCCCGTCTGTTTTATTTGGTAATTTTCCTCTAGAGCCCCGTCTGTTTTATTTGTTAATTTCCCTCTATAGCCCCGTCTGTTTTATTTGTTAATTTCCCTCTATAGACCCGTCTGTTTTATATGTTAATTTTCCTCTAGAGCCCCGTCTGTTTTATTTGGTAATTTTCCTCTATAGCCCCGTCTGTTTTATTTGGTAATTTTCCTCTATAGCCCCGTCTGTTTTATTTGGTAATTTTCCTCTATAGCCCCGTCTGTTTTATTTGTTAATTTTCCTCTATAGCCCCGTCTGTTTTATATGTTAATTTCCCTCTGTAGCCCCGTCTGTTTTATTTGACTGTTAATTTTCCTCTAGAGCCCCGTCTGTTTTATTTGTTAATTTCCCTCTATAGACCCGTCTGTTTTATATGTTAATTTTCCTCTAGAGCCCCGTCTGTTTTATTTGGTAATTTTCCTCTATAGCCCCGTCTGTTTTATTTGGTAATTTTCCTCTATAGCCCCGTCTGTTTTATTTAGTAATTTTCCTCTATAGCCCCGTCTGTTTTATTTGTTAATTTCCCTCTATAGCCCCGTCTGTTTTATTTGGTAATTTTCCTCTATAGCCCCGTCTGTTTTATTTGTTAATTTCCCTCTATAGCCCCGTCTGTTTTATTTGTTAATTTTCCTCTATAGCCCCGTCTGTTTTATTTGTTAATTTTCCCCTATAGCCCCGTCTGTTTTATTTGTTAATTTCCCTCTATAGCCCCGTCTGTTTTATTTGTTAATTTCCCTCTATAGCCCCGTCTGTTTTATTTGTTAATTTTCCTCTATAGCCCCGTCTGTTTTATTTGTTAATTTTCCTCTATAGCCCCGTCTGTTTTATTTGTTAATTTTCCCCTATAGCCCCGTCTGTTTTATTTGTTAATTTTCCCCTATAGCCCCGTGTGTAACATTTGACGCTGGGTTTTCCTCTGTAGCCCCGGATGTTACTCTTTCCGATACGATGTCTGTACAACCAAACGTTTCTATAGATTTTCGGAAACACCTGTACGTTCACAGGTGTCTCAATAAATCGGGGATTGATTTATTTTCATTGTGATTAAGTAAATAAAACAAAATAAATGTTCCATGTTCCTGCGACATTTAACTCGTTTGCTACATCCCTCTAGCATCACATTACTTATTAATCAATCCCCATTTCCAACTGAATCACTAGGATTTAAAAACAGTCAGATATGGCTGGCGTAAACGATGAAGATACGGAGCTTATACGCAGATATAGGATTTCAATTGAAACTGTAGACCGAACGTGGACATTCTCTCTCGAAATATATCATTTCTTTAAGAACGTTTGATTCGTTTACTCGGTACAATAGCACACCCTGTTCCAAACCGAAGGAGCGCCTTTATTCACTGATTACAAGGGCGTTTCTTTTCAAAGCGAGGTGAACGACTGTTCAAACTTATTTGACATAAAAGTGTGTCAGACGCTAAAGCCCAAAAGAAGAATACTGAAAAAAAAATGTAAAATTATCATTTTTTTGACAAAACCGTTTATTGTCAGAGATCTAATTTTTGGATATGAATATATATCAGAATTATCATACATTACTGCCTTAGGCTCTCTTATACTGCTTATTAGCGTGTATAACTAAAATAAACACTATAAACAGTTTAAATAAAATTATATACGACACATAAACAGAGTATTTAAAAAGTTTGATATATTATTTGACAATGCAGCTTTGCTGGCCCCATGTCTTAAGTGTGATTTTATTGTTTAACTTGTGTAAATATCAACATACATGTATATTCTACACAAAGTACCCATATCGAAATCGCTATGTAGTGGATTCTGTGACATTCTAATCCATAATTATATGATTTTACGTGATGGATGCGAGTTATATAGTATTTTATTGATATTATTTCTTCTTGGTAGATATAAATTCAATAACAACTGGTTTTTTTTTTGTAGTCTGTAATTATGTTATGGGTGTAATCACATATTTGTACAGTGTATTTACACGTGGTATGATATATTATGTTATGGGTGTTATCACATATTTGTACATTGTATTTACACGTGATATGATATATTATGTTGTTGGTGTAATCACATATTTGTACAGTGTATTTACACGTGATATGATATATTATGTTATGGGTGTAATCACATATTTGTACAGTGTATTTACACGTGGTATGATATATTATGTTATGGGTGTAATCACACATTTGTACAGTGTATTTACACGTGGTATGATATATTATGTTATGGGTGTAATCACACATTTGTACATTGTATTTACGTGTACGAAACACTGATCCAATCGATGTTTTTGTAATTTTATTTATCATCATATCATAGATATAAATCAAGTAAAGCCAATATCACCAATGACCTTGACGTATGACCTTGACCTGGTTACACAGCAGGTACTTGGATCCTTGCAGGATTTCACTGGCGGCACAACCTTGTAGTCCTGAAAGTCTGGATAACGGAAAGTAGCGCGAAAGATATATGTTACCGTTAGAAAAGGTTTGTTACACAAGGAAAGACCAAGTGATGGTCGTCTGTTATCGTCCCGGAAAGTGGTATGGCAACATCAGAGACTTCTGTACGCCTCTAACCATGGTCATACTGTGTTGGGTTTCAATGTGGCGTCGAAGGTCTACCTTTCTCTGAAATGCTCTGTCACACTTGTCGCACGCGAAAGGTTTGAATCCAGTGTGTTTCCGACTGTGCGTAATGAGATTTGAAGATTGGCTGAAAGCTTTCCCACACTGCAAACATTTATGAGGCTTCTCACCTGGAAAATAAAATGTTGATGTTATGATATTTCCGTAAGCAGATACTGTTCCAAAATGGCATAGTATAACGTGAGAGCTTTATAGGAAACAAACATTTAGGTGACGTAATGTAATTCTAGTGTTACGCCAGTTTTTGAACTGATCAGTTCTACAGATAATGTTGGTGATACATTCGCTGTATAAAATAAATTACCAGTGAAAATAAGAGGCACAAAGGGTTTGAGTGGATTTTAATGTTATTTTGGGGAATAAGGCGGACAGAAACAAAACAGTTCTTCATTGGTATGTCCAGATCTACAAATATATGTATACCAAAATAAATATTTAATATTCTGCATGCACCCCTTGACATTCATCGGTCTTTGAAGTTATAGGGTTTTTCACGAAGACGACTTTGCTCAATGAATCCGTGTAATACAATTATGATAAATGATACAAAAGTAACATAAATGTGTATGCTTGTTGTAAACTATGGTGTGTACAGTCGGTCATCTCCAATGGCTTGTATTTTTCATTGTGTCATCCCAATCCGTGGTTAGATGTTTCTAATTAAATTCGGTTATCTCAAAAATCACCCTAAATAAAAAATAATACTGGGATACGTATGACCTGGAGGTCACTTTACTAACCTGCGTACTGATATGAAGGTTCATCAGTTACATTCATATTCAACACGGACTTAACCAATCAATAGTCATACTGAAGTGAAAGTTCAAAAGATGCAGGTCGATAAAAATCATGAAGAAGTTTTATGGTTGTCATAGTGATCTAATTGAGAAATACGGTATTTCCTTGTGTGATATGATGCTGGACGTATTTAAAGCTCGTTAATTTGCTTAATCTCATTTGAGAACGTGACATTACTTACTTGACCAAGGTTTACATGGCGGGTGTCTTCGATGAAGCAGAAGACGCTTACTCTACCGGAACACATTATTCTTATTCTCATAGTTTCATCGGTCTCCGTGAAATTTTTTGTATTATTTTGATTTTTTTTATTGACCTGCAATCTCTGTTATATCATTTCCTGTCCCCATATTTACGTATGAATATTTATCTCTTTTTTTTCTAATCGCTCAGTTATTTTGTTTGCACTGTCGGTATGACACTAATAATGCACGAACGAGAAAGACTGAAGTAGGATGAGATACAATGTATTTTGTTGCAAGCAATGAATTGATAATGAATTCCCAAACCTTCTCCCATTGTTCAAAAAACAATGTCAAAGCGATACCAAAAGCATATTTTCTATTTCCAATTGAAGTAACTGTGTAATATGATTTTCCGATATATCAGAAATTAAGCGATTGATTTAGGACGTCATATACGGCACGTGATGACTAAAGGTCAGAAGTTATATGGGGAACGGAATCCCATTTTCCCTGATTTCTAACACGCCATCTAGTGTTTGACAATGAGAACGAGTCTCACGGGATCGCCTGAAAAGGTCACCCGCTTTTAAAGCTAGGGAATGATTATTGTGATGGTTTTGGGCCAAAATATCCACATTATGATGTTAAAGCTGTGATATTTAGATGTGTCTGTCTGTAATACATTTTACATGTAGAAATTTGTTGTCAAAATAAATCGATAATGTTAAATGAAAGAGATTTGCGTGTCTCCTGGTTTCAGATTCTGGTTGATAGTCATATTAAACATCATATCACGGTACAAAGGCGGCGGAAAGACTGAAAAGTCACCCGGATAGCGACATATGTTTGGCACACTTTTATACTCACAACAACTTCCAATATTTCGTGATGGGAAAATGTGGTCTCTGATTTGTTAAATGTATACAGATTTTCGTCCAACCCTAGTCATATAAATGATTATCCATACTTATAATTGGTGTTAATTTTTTCTTGTCTCACTCTCGGGTGCCAAAAATTTGAACGACAAAATTATAAACCCGGCAAACAGGCTAACAAAAGGAAATCATTAGCAACATCTTGATAGTGAGATGCAAAATATTAATAATATATGAAATATTGAATGAAAAATGACCAATATTTCTTTTTTCTCCCTTTTTAAACTTTACCCAACAATTTATTTTGATTTCTAGTGTGAATTTTTTTATGTGCTTTAACACACACACACATCGGTGTTACGTAAATTGCAAACTCAGTAAGTCGGAATCAATTGATAAATACCTGTATGTATATAGGTGTGTTTCTTCATGTCGGACTTTTGGTGAAAACGCTTTCCACAGTATGGACATGGGTAGGGTCTGGTGTCACTGTGTATCAGAAGGTGTGTCGACAGTGTGGAGGAACGCTTGAAGCCTTTCCCACACTGTTTACACTCAAATGTCCTCTCCTGGGTGTGGACAAACTTATGTTGGTCAAGACTTACAGCGTGACCAAACGTTTTGTTGCATATATTACAGACGTAAGGTCTTGTGCCGCTGTGAGAACGCCGCACGTGCACTTCCAAGCCATGAGGCGTATTGAAAATTTTGTTGCACTTTAAGCATTCGTATGTATTTTCGCATTCTTCCGGTGAAGACTCTCCTTTCAGGCTGTCTTTGTCTGTGGTGCATGCGTCCTTGACATTCGTGATATCCGGACAACACGGGTATCGTAACGGGTAACCGCCAAAATAGTTGTAAGATATCAGGAAGTGTTGAAGAAGGTATCGCGCATCCACCCCGAGACTTCCGGCCCATCCACTATACATGAATGGTAGCAGGTTCATTGGCCAAAGACAGGATGAATCGGCTTCTGGGGGAAAAAAACACAAAATAAATTCATTTCTTCGAATTTGGATTACTATTTTACACATATTTTGTGCGAAGATGAATTGATCAGAACTTCATGTATGTATATATATGTGTGTGTGAGGGGGAATGCGGTGCGTGTGTGCGTGTGTGTGTGGTGGTGTGTGTGTGTGTGTGTGTGTGTGTGTTGAAATCACTTCACAGAAAATTTGAATACACTTTCAAGTGACAATGATAACTCCTGTTACCTGTTATTCTAATCCGTCACTTGGTTTTGTTCCGGTTTGCTTAAATCTTGCTCAAGATTTGCTTGTTTTAAGTAAAGCACACGTACAAGGAACACTCGTGGCCAAGGTTTGAGCAATTTACAAGTAAAACTATACATGTGCATATCTTATGTACATTTAATAATCCTTTTGTGAAAATAACTGATTTAGAACAGATAACTGGCGGATAACTTCGACTTCATTACGTCACAGCTGTTTGTAAACAATCATTAAGCGCCTAGTCAGAGTTTAAAGGAGTCCGCTGGTAATTCATAGTATAATCATTTAATAACAAACTGCTTATTCATGTCATAGATAATACAAATTTGATGAAGTAACGCAGGCTTTTGTTCAAAATGGAAGAAAAATACGTTGACAGAAGACGGAGTCCGAGATTGATATTATCTTGCAATCAATGATTGTAAGAGCGCCAGCTGGGTGTTTACCTGTGATATAAACTAACCCTTTACTCGTGTTTTCTATGGCCGTTATAAGAAAGCCGGGATGTAGTTAATCGATTACAGCTTGTCGTTACTGCACGATGAACAGTGATTAATATTACATATTTACTGGTCCTATTGGTATTTCAATGATTGTGTTCGTGGTTGAAACCGAACCCCAGAAACTCATTGTTGAAACGATTTCACTTTCATTTACTCTATCAATATTGTTAAACTTTATGCATTGTAAGTGTGTCTTGATAAATGACGGTCCCGCTTTCTTTAAACAAAGGTGAATCAGAACACAAACAGAGCTGAGGTTAATGAGGCACACACAGTGAGTAGCGGTAATATTTAATCAATGACAGTCTACAAAGAGAAGACGGCCTTCCTGACAAAAACATATTTTAACGACCTACACATATCTGTTATATAAAACGATAGATTGATAATCGTGGAAACACTAATTTAAGTCTATCTCAATACCCGCTATTGATGCTTGTTTAAGATCAATCATATGTCAACACGTATTTTCTTTCGTTTTAAGCAGACGTAGATGTGATTAATAGGACCCTAAATATAAAGCTAATTATCTCTATGTCATTCTAAATATATATAAAAAATGTATCACACTTTATCTGTGATCTCTCAATATCTGTAATATATCATTCTAAATATTACACTTTACATCTCTCAATATCTTTTTAACAAATCACTCTGAATATATCTGTGACACATCGTTCTAAATAGAAAACTTTACATCTCTCTATATCTGTGATACATCGTTCTAAATAGAAAACTTTACATCTCTCTATATCTGTGATACATCATTCTAAATAGAAAACTTAACATCTCTCTATATCTGTGATACATCGTTCTAAATAGAAAACTTTACATCTCTCTATATCTGTAATACATCATTCTAAATAGAAAACTTAATGTCTCTCTATACAATACAGTACTCCTTATATAAGCATATAAGCATGACTGCTAGAAGGACGAAACCGCTGTATGATACAGTTTAGGCCATTGTTTAGCTCTGCTTTATATAACCCTAAATTATTAAAAGATGATATTCACGTTGATGTCCTCTTTGTATACTTGTTTACTTACTAGTAGAGATATCCCAACTAGCTACAGTAATTGGGTTTATGTCTGGAGAATCTATTACCTTCTCTGACAATTCTCCTGTTTCTCATACAACCATACACTAATACGGGCGTGCGCCGCCTCAAGATGTGCCACCCAATGCCAGGGCGCAGTGTACGTCTGTCCGATGGATTATTATAATTATTATTATTATTACATTCTTAACGGCCCGTCAACACATAAAAGGTCATTCGGGCCATCAAACGGTAAAACACACAGCGATCCAAACTGTCCAATGGAATGATTTTAATACTGATATCATTTTAAAAAGTTGGTAGAAAAATCTGGCAGTAGTAATTATGTGTTAAATATACTTCTAATGTGCCAGACTGATGCTGATAATTGTGTAAACAACCTTTATAAAGTTTTTAACCTTTGCACTTTGCCGTTTTGTCATGTCAAAGTCAGTGATAATAGTCATGCTCATAAGTACCCTACAAATTAGAATAAGGTTAGAGAGAATAAACCTTGGGTTACAGACGAAGGTAAAAAGTTGTACATCGATTACAAATGTGCTCTTCGTATTTTTTTTTTTTATATATATATATGTATATAAATCAGATACTAATTGCGCAAATCTTGTCGGTTCGAAACGTAGATATAAAAAATTAGAGCTACGATTGAAACGTCAGTATAGGCAGTATGAAGGTGACATGTTACAGTTACTTAAAACGTAGATATAAAAAATTAGAGCTACGATTGAAACGTCTGTATAGGCAGTATGAAGGTGACATGTTACAGTTACTTAAAACGTAGATATAAAAAATTAGAGCTACGATTGAAGCGTCAGTATAGACAGTATGAAGGTGACATGTTACAGTTACTTAAAACGTAGATATAAAAAATTAGAGCTACGATTGAAACGTCTGTATAGACAGCATGAAGGTGACATGTTACAGTTACTTAAAACGTAGATATAAAAAATTAGAGCTACGATTGAAGCGTCAGTATAGACAGTATGAAGGTGACATGTTACAGTTACTTAAAACGTAGATATAAAAAATTAGAGCTACGATTGAAACGTCTGTATAGACAGCATGAAGGTGACATGTTACAGTTACTTAAAACGTAGATATAAAAAATTAGAGCTACGATTGAAGCGTCAGTATAGACAGTATGAAGGTGACATGTTACAGTTACTTAAAACGTAGATATACAAAATTAGAGCTACGATTGAAGCGTCAGTATAGACAGTATGAAGGTGACATGTTACAGTTACAGGTCAAATCCCAAACAATTCTATAAACTTTTCATGTTACAGTTACTTAAAACGTCAAATCCCGAACAATTCTATAAACTTTTCATGTTACAGTTACTTAAAACGTCAAATCCCAAACTATTCTATAAACTTTTCATGTTACAGTTACTTAAAACGTCAAATCCCAAACAATTCTATAAACTTTTCATGTTACAGTTACTTAAAACGTCAAATCCCAAACAATTCTATAAACTTTTCATGTTACAGTTACTTAAAACGTCAAATCCCGAACAATTCTATCAACTTCTCATGTTACAGTTACTTAAAACGTCAAATCCCAAACAATTCTATAAACTTTTCATGTTACAGTTACTTAAAACGTCAAATCCCAAACAATTCTATAAACTTTTCATGTTACAGTTACTTAAAACGTCAAATCCCGAACAATTCTATAAACTTTTCATGTTACAGTTACTTAAAACGTCAAATCCCAAACTATTCTATAAACTTTTCATGTTACAGTTACTTAAAACGTCAAATCCCAAACAATTTTATAAACTTTTCTCCAAAAAAGACGTATGGAAAACGTATCTACAAGTTTAACAAATGAAAAAAAAAATCACATATTTTAAAAATCCTTGTACATATAATGTAACTGATGTAAGCTCAAATGTGAATGAAGAAAACAATGAAGAATCTGTATAGGATGAACTCGACAAGGTTATTACTAGAGATGAAATCTCAAAGGCTATTAATACTTCGAAAGCTAATAAAAGCTGAAGTGAAGATCTTGTAAATGAACGTTTTGTCAAAGGCAAAGATATTCTTATGCCATATCTATACAATTTATTCAGTTCTATTTTCTAATCCGGGTTCTTCTCAGAATCTTGGTCAGAAGCTTGCATTGTTCCAATTTACAAGACAGGTGATATTAATGACCCTAACAACTATCGTGGTATTTCTCTCATTAGTTGTTTTAGAACGCTTTTTACAAGCATTTTAAATAACAGAATTTTATCTTGGGAGAAAGAATATAATATTTTAACTGATACTCAGTTTGGATTTCGATCTGGTCTATCGACCGTTGGTGCTATTTTTTTCCTACAAACACTTATTAATAGGACTTTAAAAAACAAAAAGGCTCCATTGTTGTTTCATTGATTTCCGCAAAGATTTTGATTTTGTTGACAGAAGCAAATTGTGAAGTAAACTTATTAAAACTGGAATCCGCGGTAAAATCCTTCAAATTTTGAACTCTTTATATTGTAAAGTCAAGTCTTGTGTAAAGTTTAATGAAGTTTTAAGTGAACACTTCTGTAATGGTGCTGGTCTCTTGCAGTGAGAAGTTCTGTCTCCGATTTTATTTTCTTTGTATGTTAATGGTGCTGGTCTCTTGCAGGAAGAAGTTCCGTCTCAGATTTTATTTTCTTTGTATGTTAATGATTATGAAATTAACTTTATATATAATAATTGTCCAAGTCTTGAACTCCAACTGATCACTATTTTTCTCCTTATGTACGCCGACGATATGGTTCTGATGTCGGAAACTCCGGAAGGATTACAATCAATGCTAAATTGTTTACATAATTATACAAAGGAATGGGATCTAGAAGTAAATATTGACAAATCTAAAATAGTTGTTTTCAGAAATGATGGGAGACTTAAAAGTAATGAGGTGTGGTATTTTAACAATCAACATTTAGATATAGTGAAGGAATTCAACTATCTAGGAATGCTGTTTAATTACAATGGCAAATTTCTTAAAACTCAACATCATGGTGCAGCTCAAGGTAGAAAAACTTTGTTTTCATTAATGTCAAAATTGCGTAACCATTGTTTAAATATTGAAACCCAATGTGCTGTTTTTGACTCGTATGTAAAAAGCATTTTATGTTATGCTTCTGAGATATGGGGATTTCACGAATCATCCGATGTAGAAAAAGAACACCTTAATTTTTGTAAAAAATTGTTAGGAGTTCGGAAAAATACTTTCAACTATCTGGTTTATTGTGAGCATGGTAGATTTCCTTTGATAAAATATAGAAAATTCAGGATTTTTAAATTTTGGTTGAAGGTGAAACAGAGTGAAAACTATATTAAAATCATGTGATGATGAGTGTGTTAACCTAAACGATGTCTGGGTTGCTAATATCAAACAGGAATCATCTAGTCTTGGGTTGGCATGTTTGAAAATAGTTTACCTGTTAATGTTGCTTTTAAATTATAGAACAAAGAATTTTTGACAATTGTAGACAGAATACGTTAGCAAATATATCAAGGTCACTTAAGGGTTTTTTGTATCAGCACCTTGTTGATAATTTTTGTCTCCGATTTTATTTATGTAAATCTATAGAAACAAAGTACAAACGTCTTATTACTTGTTTCAGATTGTCGTCACATAATTTAAATATCGAAGTCGGTAGACGGAATAATGTTTTTCGTCAAAATAGATCACGTACTCATTGTACCTCGGGTGATATAGAGGACGAATTTCACTTTATCCTAAAATGTCCTTTTTACAAAAATCACAGAAGTATTTATGTATTTAGGGAAATATTTATATTGTGCCTCAGGGAAACGTATGGAATTTAGTGATTGATAGAACTAATTGTACACTACAGTATCATTGTAAATTTACTCTCCATTTAACCTAATTTGTATAACATTCTTTCATATTTGTACCACATTATGTGTTTGTTATTTAACCTATGAGTCGGATGGCTTGCAGATTGATAAACACTTTTGATGACCGCTGTCAACGCATCTTGAGAAAATAAAATAACTAAAAACAAAGAGACAGAGATGGCTCTTAAACTCTTAAATTGCATTCATGACTTTCAAGTGAAAAAGAGACTCAATTTTTATTCTATAATCATTTGAAAAGTTGAAAACCATTACCGTTGTCTTTCCTTTCCTGCCAGGGTCTAAATGCAGTGAAGTTTCCTCCAATCGTGCTGATTTTGTCGCCATCAAGTGCCGCACGTGCCGGCCACGCGTGGTCTCGGAGTTGAAGAAGGGAGGGGTAGAATGGCGTTTGGCCAATATCTGATTTAGGACTCACAGTTGCTAGAAATGAAACGTAAATAGTGACATTTAAAGGTTAATGAATAGTTATCGTATTATTAATGAATTGAACAGATCCGATTTGTTCATGTTTGAAAACGTAAAGTCATTTATTTGTTTATGTTTATTTGTTTTTGTTTACAAATACATAGGGATCAGTAATTGTTTATGCATTATACTTAATGTCTTTGATATGTTTATTGACCAGGAATATTATACATGTGCTGTTACTAAACACTTGATTGTTAAAAGTGGTCCAGTATCTATTAATTTAGTTATTTATACTCTATATTATATATTAATATTACCGAAGTTCTCTTTCTCAATATTACATAATATGACAGCCTTCTGTACTTTAGCCGTTATTTACGGATTTGTCCTGCGTCCATTTAACTATCATGACCTATATAAGAAATCTCGTGCGTATTCTAGTTCTCACCTTTAACATCTTGTGAACTGAAGTTACTTAGTGAACTCTAGATTACTCATTAAGACAACACTAGATTTTTATGTTTTCTTGTCATAAAGTATAGATTCAAATCCAGGACCAACAAGAGTGATGAATATAAATTAGAAAAACTTGTACCCCAAATCTTGCAAAATAAATAAAAGTTAATTTTCTTTGAAAGTTTCTATTTTTCTCGATTAAATGTCAAAAGTTTTAGAAGAATATTGAAGTCACAGATGACAAATCAGTATCGTATGACACGATTTCTTCAATGAGAGACATTTAGTCGAGCAAGTTCCCTCTGATGATGGTTAACATATTGAGGCCATCATGAACAATGTTACATGTGTAGAAATTTACCTAGAAAATAGTTATATCTGTGTAAACAAACTCAAATCTAAAGCTATATAAACCAAATTCAGTCTACATCTAAACACATCCTGTGTAATCTGCGTAATAAGTAAAATTGATGTGAAAATATAAAGTATCAGAGAAACAAGATGTTCACTTTTACAATAAGTATTTTTTTCCAAATCAACTCAGAAATTGAAAAATAAGAAAGCCAAAACGAGACATCAAAGAAAAATATGTAAACTTTTACCATCCAACTTAAAGGATGTGAAAAAAAGTAAAGGAAAATGTAAAAAGTTAAAAAGCAAAGCAATTTTTACGGTAATACACAAACTGATAGTGCAATTATTTAGTTTCATATTAATGATTCTAATTCTGTTCGAATTCTAATTAAAACAAGAGATTTAGTTGACAATGTCGTGTATATAGGGACAATTTCAACAGATGGACTATAGTTAGGAATTCATTCAGATCGTTCGCGTTAATTCAAACTAAATCATTTTCGGAATGACAATAAAATGATATACTTTAACCAGATAATTACGGAAAATTTGTTTTCAATTTTGTATTTAGTCACATATTATTTTCAATTAGTGATGATGTTAGCTAAGTAAGTTATCCCTAAAATCACATTCTTTTTGTCGTTTTATGAATAAACAAATTTACTTACCGGTTTTGGGCATCACTAGTTGAAAGGCGCTAGACGTGGGGTCCATGCCTTGAATCTGATCTCCAAATGGACGAATTGAATTTCTCACCAGAAATGATTTTGGCATCATCAGGAAAAAGCACACAATTTTAACTGGTGGATGTTGATATCTTATTTCAGTTATTTAGCTTACATGAAGAAAGTCGTGTGCCGTGAGTTGATTTAAAATCCAGAAGTCCTTTCCACAATTAAATAGTCACGCGCGGGACTGGCGACCCGCACGCGCCAATGGACACTTTTCCACCAATCGGCTTTGTTGTAACAGGTTCGATATTTGGCGACGATCGGAGGTAAATGTTTGCACAGGAGGTAGTGTTTCCGATGTTTCTTTATGATGATCCTATAATGGTCTTTAATACTTATTACCGGCTTACAATACTCCGAATAAGCGGGCTTTGATCTGTTTTAAAAGTTCGTGTACCTATGATCACCTCGAGAAAAGACACATCCTAACCAAATTATGTTGATCGATTCGTCTCTAAAGAATTGTCCTGTTATTGGAGAACAAAGTGATTTTCTAAGTATATATGTACGTATTCTTTATATCTATGAGAGTGCCACCTGCTAAAATTCACACGCTGTGTTACCGTCGCAGTGATACTGTAATAGTGAGTGTTGTCAAACACGCGGTTTGTTAACATCATTTAACCGTGGACAATGAAACAGTGACTTCATTTGGAAATATCAGTTAGCAATGTCCAATTGATCAGGAACATTATTCATTCGAATTTTTTTAAAAACAGATTGATCTGATGACAAAAGTCCCACTTTTCGCTAGTTAATGTTAAATATACACTGAAATGAGAAACACCTCTCCAAACTACATAGGTCTGCATTTATAATAAGCTTTAAAATAAAAAGAAACGGGAAGTTTAAATCTGATTTATGAATATGTCAGCTGAAAAAAACAAGATAAATATGGAGAAAAGTAATGTTTGTGAGATTTAACACAGTTTTTTCCTGAAATGTGTACGTGGCGTGAATTCGTCTAAATATACCATTCCTAGTAAGATTTGTTTGCTAACTGCTCGTGTCTTTGTACTGCCGATAACAAAGGAGATTTATACTGGAAAGGGTCTGGATAATACTTTCGATAGATTCCATTATAACCATCTATTTAAACTTGTTGACAACTTTGGATGTATGTACGACTATCTATATTTTTGATTTTATTTATTATTAACAAATATTAGTACGAGCTGTTGGTTTAGAATTCGTGGCAAGTTCCTGTAATGCGTTTGTTCTAGATTCTGCAACAACAGATCAACAATAAGACAGATATGGTTAAAAATGTTTAACCTGAAAGATAATAAACCCTGGTTCATACTGCAATAAAAATAAAAGTGTAGAGCATACAGGAATGATTCACGTGACTTTAATGTAACGAAGAAAGTCATTAAGGAACATTTATAGAGATAGTTTCAGAAACTGGAGTGAAGACTTAAGACATCGAAGACAGGAGGCTGATATGATGGAATATTACTGAAGATATTTTCCCTAAATTAAAAATAAATCTTGCTGGTCAAAGTACGGATGAAGTCTATGGCCAATGTAGCTCAGAAAACAAATAGAGCAAAATTAATTTTACTGAATATGCTGCACATAATGTTTCCTTCATATTTATAGAATTAGATGTTTATATGACATTACAGGTTCTGTTTTCTACGACACGCAAATACATGTAGAAATAGAAGAAGCTGGAAGGACAACATTCTTAATTAACTTTTAACGATCATTAAAATATGCTTACGTCATATTTTATCAATTTTATTGTTATTTTTCCTGGTTTCTAGTGTACATGTATAACGACGACATCAATACACACAAGTAACTACACCGATGACACTCGTGTTAGTTGTATGGAAAAGTGGGTTTTTTCTGCGTCTTTAGTGAATGAGTGATTTATAAAGTGCAATAACGAAAATTATCTAAAAAAAAACAACAAAAGATGCACAATTTCGTAAAGATCCGGTCATTCTAATACGGATGCGATTTGCTTCAAACTTTATTGAACAACTATTTAAGTTAAATCCAGATTAATATCTTTATTAAACCCAGATAGACAAAGTTTGTAACAAGAAGTCAGTGAATAAATATAATGTTTATTTATATTCATGTCGGTTTACATAGACATAAATGTTACAACAACAATCTAATTACTTTCATCCAATATTTTTCGAGTTTTTATAGAAACTTGTTGATATTTAATAAAACCTTTACATTACACATGGTAAAAAAAACCCATGCATTTTGATAGTACTAGGACAATGTCATTAGTTATCTTAAATAAACATTGTTTTTCTAATTTGTTTAACAGGCACGCGTTCACATTTAAATAAAAAATTATATTCATCACCAATGTCATTAAAATATAGATTTCAAGTTCCGTTTTATTTCGGAATTTCAATCCATCTTCCAGTCTCAATTAGATGAATGCCTATCTAATGTTCTAAACTTAACGATAATGTGTCTTTCCTTTGACTTAAGTTTCACAAGAAATTTTCTGGTTCAAAAGTTCTTTTCGAAGTAGAATAACTAAGTTCTGTTTAAGAGTTCTCTATGTCGTCATATCACTTTGGATAAATTTATATTGTAATCTTTAGTTTACAACCAGATTGAAACTACTAAACGTCCATGTTTTCTGGTATCCCTGGTATCCCATGGTATCCCTGGTATCCCTGGTATCCCCTGGTATCCATGGTATCCATGGTATCCCTGGTATCCCTGGTATCCCCTGGTATCCATGGTATCACCTGGTATCCCTGGTATCCCCTGGTATCCCTGGTATCCATGGTATCCCCTGGTATCCCTGGTATCCCCTGGTATCCATGGTATCCATGGTATCCCCTGGTATCCCTGGTATCCCCTGGTATCCATGGTATCCATGGTATCCATGGTATCCCCTGGTATCCCTGGTATCCCCTGGTATCCCTGGTATCCATGGTATCCCCTGGTATCCCTGGTATCCCCTGGTATCCATGGTATCCATGGTATCCCCTGGTATCCCTGGTATCCCCTGGTATCCATGGTATCCCCTGGTATCCCTGGTATCCCCTGGTATCCCTGGTATCCCCTGGTATCCCTGGTATCCATGGTATCCCCTGGTATCCCCTGATGAAATTAGAACTAGCAAGTTCTCTGAATTGTTACGGACATTCTTTAACCATTTAAACTCCACTGTAAAAATTGTTTGTAAAATAAAAAATAAGTTAAGCATAATGCTTGAACGATTATAGCTAAAATTGAATTAATTGGATTTAAACCGGAACATCATTACCTTTTTTTGAAATTTCAATATATAAAGGAAAACTCCCATTTTCTCCATAAACCAAAACGTTTGCAGTGTTTCTTATAAAATCTTATATATACATACAGTTGCAAATGTCGTTTTTTCAATACCTCTACTGTACAGAGAAGAATTGGTAATACAAGCTAATCAGAAAGGTCTAATCATTTGTAGGTTAAAGTGATGATAGGGAGTTCGAGAGAAATTAAAACGCGTCATACAATTACTGCATAGCTTTCTTAATTCACGTGCTAGACACAATGGGTGCTGTTCTGACCTTTTCAACAACACAATTGGGTTTGCTTTGGTGAAAATTTGCCAGCGACTGTGAAATTCATTTCATTAATGGACGTTGTCTATCAGTAGAATTTGATTTAATCAATATTTGCTTCTCTTAAGAAAATGTGAAGACATAGTGTTAGTTGCAAATTATGTAGAAAAATTACGACAAATTTTATATACTCTTAAATTTTATAACGCCAAAAACAGGACAATAGCTATCGATAGCTGTTAGGAGCCGTGTCACAACAGAAATAATGGTTAATGGGTTTTTAACGATATACAAATACAAAATGGTGATAAATTCTAGTATAGTTAGATCATGATGATGTTATGTTCGATATTTCACGTGACATAGATGTGATCGCGAAAATTGATCCGTAAAATATCAAGACAGGTGTGAATATTATCCATGATACAATTAAACTGTACCCAAAGAATGCTGTCATCTTACTAGCCGACTTGTATTAAACCAAGGATATTTCGATAACTAAAAGTGACTGAATTGAATACTTGTTTTCAAACACTGTATGTAAATAAATACCATTATCATAAATCATGTTTGTGTTTGAATGATTAATCAGTAATCATTTATTACAAACTTTACATTGGAGCAATATTCGCAAAATTAGATGGTATGTCCTTTCTAGATCCGGAATGTTGAATTCGTTTGAATTTTTATTCTCCCTTTTTAATGAAAATCGCTGAAATTTTGAACTTCGAAAAATAGCATTCTACACGGAATCTAGGAATGCAATACGAATATTATGGTAATTAAGGTAATCAAACAAAATATTGCCACAGAACAAAGTAATGATAATGAATCTAGTAACAAGTTCAACAACCTTTATGTCAGTGTTATAACTTAAAATACAATGTTCTGTGTTTGACACAATTTACATTGACAAAGATTGAGGATTTCACAAATCTTAAGATGTTGTTTTTGAGAGGATTAATTCAATTTTTATACATGATGCTTGGCGTGAAAAAAATACCCGTTATAATTTAACATATGGCGATTTGGGAAGGTTACCGTTATCAGCCTGTGAAAACACATAATTTATGGTGTAAAATCAAGTTACTATGATAATTGTGATTTTAAGTAAAAAATCACGAGGAAAGGATTTTGTTTACTGATAGTTGGATTTTAGATATAAATAACTGAATTTAAATAAATAGGATTAAGTTATCGTGGGGTTATACAATTGTGATAATGCTATATATATGTAAAATGAAAGAACATTGATGTTACATGTTTATAAACAGGAACTCTTATCAAACATTTAAACAATCACGACGTGTTTTCTTTCACGACTTATAATATGTTTTCAAACTGCAGAATATATTAACAAATAAAAAATGAATCCGTGTCTTATTTTCGAGGTTTTAGGATATTGTATTATATTGACAACAAATATTACTGTGTTAAACAGTATACATATATTTACAACATTGTATAATATTATTTACCTATCACAAATGTAAGTTGTTCTTACAGTGACAATAGTGTAAATATTATTTAAGTGTCGGGAATTCAGTTTGTAATTAATCCATATCATTCACATTTATATCAGGATAATAAAAATGTATTTTACTCTGAAATAAACTGATAATATTCACTACAATTTTAACCTTTACGTCCAGTGCTTGTGTATCGTTGACATCTGTAAAATCTTCTTCCATAAAACAGTCGATAATCTTACCTGTTGACGCCCTAAGGTTTATTTATTGCTTAGTTTGGCCTGCTATAATGCGATGATAATATCAGGTGGATCAAGGTTTTGTATTTGTTTACTATCATAAAACCGGAAGTTTTATAAAAAAAAAATTAAACATATATTTTTCTTATTGGTTTTTAGCACCCTAAATAAGATTTTTTCTGATTTATTACTATGTGTATAACAAGGCTTCTGGATTTAAACTGCTGCTTGGTTTTAAACTGTTAAAAATGGATATTAATTGCGCTAGTGTTGAATTTAGCATTGTTTTACCTTCCTCGGTCTGTTTAAAATTGTTTGTAAAAATATGATTTGTACAAACTACACATCAGCGGATAAGATTTCCCTAGGCCTCAAACTAAGACATTAGTGATATATTCAAACAGCTGTTTGGTTCAGAATACACACGCGTGTACTTGACGTTCTTGTAGAATCGCTAGATTGATATTTCAATTTCTACACAACTGGACACAATAAAACTACCAAATTTGGCCAGTTTCATTTGTTAATGAATTTGACCTGAACTTCTGAATACATCATTTACAGATTCTGTTTGGGGGAGAACCGTTACGCATATTTGAGGATGAATTTTAAATAAAACTTTTAAAATCTGTTCCAGATTTACAGAATATATATTGATAAAGATAAATGATATATATATATAGTAGTTATCAAACAAATCAAAATATGACGTTATGGTAACTTTTAGCAGAACAATTTTGTTTTCCATGTTTTGATATCAGAGTTGTGTGTGTGTATGATATTATAAATTACTGGAATCAGAGTTGTGTGTGTGTACAATATTCTAAATTACTGGAATAAGATTTGTGTGTGTGTATGATATTCTAAATTACTGGAATCAGAGTTGTGTGTGTGTACAATATTCTTAATTACTGGAATCAGAGTTGTGTGTGTGTATGATATTATAAATTACTGGAATCAGAGTTGTGTGTGTGTATGATATTATAAATTACTGGAATCAGAGTTGTGTGTGTGTATGATATTATAAATTACTGGAATCAGAGTTGTGTGTGTGTACAATATTCCAAATTACTGGAATCAGAGTTGTGTGTGTGTATGATATTATAAATTACTGGAATCAGAGTTGTGTGTGTGTATGATATTATAAATTACTGGAATCAGAGTTGTGTGTGTGTATGAATGATATTGTAAATTACTGGAATCAGAGTGTGTGTGTGTGTGTACAATATTATAAATTACTGGAATCAGAGTTGTGTGTGTGTATGATATTATAAATTACTGGAATCAGAGTTGTGTGTGTGTATGATATTATAAATTACTGGAATCAGAGTTGTGTGTGTGTATGATATTATAAATTCCTGGAATCAGAGTTGTGTGTGTGTATAATATTCCAAATTACTGGAATCAGAGTTGTGTGTGTGTATGATATTATAAATTACTGGAATCAGAGTTGTGTGTGTGTATTATATTCCAAATTACTGGAATCAGAGTTGTGTGTGTGTATGATATTATAAATTACTGGAATCAGAGTTGTGTGTGTGTGTGTATGATATTATAAATTACTGGAATCAGAGTTGTGTGTGTGTATGATATTATAAATTACTGGAATCAGAGTTGTGTGTGTGTATGATATTATAAATTACTGGAATCAGAGTTGTGTGTGTGTATGATATTATAAATTACTGGAATCAGAGTTGTGTGTGTGTATGATATTCCAAATTACTGGAATCAGAGTTGTGTGTGTGTATGATATTATAAATTACTGGAATCAGAGTTGTGTGTGTGTATAATATTCCAAATTACTGGAATCAGAGTTGTGTGTGTGTATGATATTATAAATTACTGGAATCAGAGTTGTGTGTGTGTATGATATTATAAATTACTGGAATCAGAGTTGTGTGTGTGTATGATATTATAAATTACTGGAATCAGAGTTGTGTGTGTGTATAATATTCCAAATTACTGGAATCAGAGTTGTGTGTGTGTATGATATTATAAATTACTGGAATCAGAGTTGTGTGTGTGTGTGTAGTTGTGTGTGTGTATATTATAAATTACTGGAATCAGAGTGTGTGTGTGTGAATCAGAGTTGTGTGTGTGTATGATATTATAAATTACTGGAATCAGAGTTGTGTGTGTGTATGATATTATAAATTACTGGAATCAGAGTTGTGTGTGTGTATGATATTATAAATTACTGGAATCAGAGTTGTGTGTGTGTATATAAATTACAGGAAACAGAGTTGTGTGTGTGTATGATATTCCTAAATTACTGGAATCAGAGTTGTGTGTGTGTGTGGAATCAGAGTTGTGTGTGTGTATGATATTATAAATTACTGGAATCAGAGTTGTGTGTGTGTATGATATTATAAATTACTGGAATCAGAGTTGTGTGTGTGTATGATATTATAAATTACTGGAATCAGAGTTGTGTGTGTGTATGTAATTCCATATTACTGGAATCAGAGTTGTGTGTGTGTATGATATTATAAATTACTGGAATCAGAGTTGTGTGTGTGTGTGTCAGAGTTGTGTGTGTGTAAATTACTGGAATCAGAGTTGTGTGTGTGTATGATATTCCAAATTACTGGAATCAGTGTTGTGTGTGTGTATGATATTATAAATTACTGGAATCAGAGTTGTGTGTGTGTATGATATTATAAATTACTGGAATCAGAGTTGTGTGTGTGTATGATATTCTAAATTACTGGAATCAGAGTTGTGTGTGTGTATGATATTCCAAATTACTGGAATCAGAGTTGTGTGTGTGTATGATATTATAAATTACTGGAATCAGAGTTGTGTGTGTGTATGATATTCCAAATTAC